TAAAACATGAAGAGAACAAGAAAAGTAAGATAATGGAAATGGGATAGTCGAGAACCTCGATGCAAGCCACACACATATACAACAATGCAAACGTTGGTTAAATATAAATCCATCTCGCTTTGTTTGATCTTCGGCATTCCCATCTTCGGTGCCCGGTACAGAAGGCTACCAACCCCTCCGCCCCGCCCCGACCGACACACAGGACCCGTATTTCATGTGTGTGTGTATGTGCGCCGCTTAGCTCAAAGGCCCACCCCTGGTCGCATCTCGTTCAATGAAACCGTGCATCGTGGAGAGGTGTGGGTGGGGTGGGGAAGACCAGGGGGTTAATGAAATAGAGAAAGAGAGAGAAAGAAAGAAAGAGATGGACTGAAAGGGCAAAAAAAAAGAACGCACGTACTTACTTCCTCGTGTTTGCATACGGGCGCCCGAACGGAGGCGCAGGATAAGCACTTGTCCAAGGGCTTGGGGCTGCAGGTATTGTAGGGGTCCCTTTTTATTTACTCTCGTATCTCGTGAGGAGGGCGGCACTTGCCATGTCGGTACCGTGTGGAAAGAATCGCAATCGAAGTGGCGAAGAAGGGGTGTGGATGTGGGTGTGGGTGCGGGATCGGGTGTTGTCCGTGCAGCAGACGTTATGGGGGGTGTGGTAAGTATGGGATCGTGTACCATGCGGAATCTTGTGGGGGTTGGGAGGAATGACGACATGGAGGAAATCAAGAGAGATGAAGATAGAGAAAAGGGGAGAGGATAAGGCGCATACGTAGCAAAAAGAAAACGATCGCATAGTCTCACGAGCAATTGTCATCAATATTGCTCTTAGTACCATTCGTGCTTCTCATTTTCTCGACGTTGTCTAAATCCCAAACCGTCGTCTAATCGATAGAAAGAGGCGCAATGTATCTCGCATATGCGTACGAAAATACTTAATGCGATACACAATGAACTTGTTTTTCTCGCACGAATTTCCACAAGAAAAGTAGTGAGGCTTCCCTCAATTTTCTAAGTCATAGTAACGAGTTCCTCGGCGGAGACCGGATGGATTGCCTGTTGAAGAAAAAGACGACATGTGTTAGCAGATCCATGCATATATATATATATATATATATATATATATTAGATAACGTGTCAAGCCCTTGATTGTGTGTGGCTTCCACACGACTTTTTCTGTGTATGTCCCCCCCTCCCCCTGCAGACGTGGGCACATGTTCGCACGCATTTACCAGGGGCGATGGCCTGCATATGCAGGCACAGAACAGCCGTCCAGAACGAGAAGTTGCAAGGAATGGAAGGAAGGGTGTAGGGGAAGGGGGGAGAGATAAAAAAGATACGTACCACGCAGCTGTCAAAATCCTTCTTAGTAGCACCCATCTTGATCGCCACGCCGAATCCTTGCAGGATCTCGCTGCTTCCCTGACCAAGAATGTGCAGACCGACTACCTTCTCTTCTGGGCCTGCACAAATGATCTTGTACGCGGTGGGCTGCTTGTGCTCTTGGTCCATCATGGCAAAGTACATTGCCTTGAATTCCGTCTTGTAAATCTTGATCTTATCGTCACCGTACTTTTCGCGGGCCGCGGGCTCGGTCATGCCAATCGAACCGATTTCTGGGTGAGCAAATACGACCGAAGGAATGTTCTCGTATACAAGGCGGGCGTCGGGCTGGTTATTGAAGAGGCGCTCCGACAGGCGGCGGCCAGCGGCGATGGCGACGGGTGTGAGTTCGAAACCGCGATCGCAGACGTCACCGATGGCATAGACGTTGGGGATGGACGTGTTCTGGTATTCATCGGTAACAATATGGTTCTTTTCGTTGACCTTGATGCCAAAATCCTTGATCTTGAGGTCCTCAATTTCAGGCACACGTCCTGTCGCGAAAAGGACAGTCTCAACCTCGACAGTGGATTCCTTTTTGCTCTCTGTTTCCTGGTAGGTGACACGCTTCATTCCGTTTCCAATATCCTCAACTTTTGTAATCTGCGTACCCTTGTATAGGTTGATGCCTTGACGCTCGTACTCCTGGGTCACGGTATCCTGGATCATGGGATCGAAGCTTCGAAGGAGCTTCTGGCCGCGAATGAAAAAGTGTGTCTTGGTGCCGAGAGCGTGTAGCATGCCGGTCATCTCGACACCAATGTATCCCGCGCCGCTTGTTGCGATACTCTTTGGCTGCTTCTCAAGCTCGAAGAACCCGTCGCTGTCGATGCATAGCTCTTTTCCAGGAATATCAGGGATCACTGGTCGTCCGCCGGTTGCGATGAGAATATGTTTCGCCTTGATGCGCTGTGTGCCTCCCTCATTCAGTGCAACCTCGACCTCATCCTTTGCGACGAATTTTGCGCGCCCCCTCAGATGCTCAATCTCGTCCTTGTTCAGATTGTTCTCGTAGATGCCATTTAGGCGGGTAACATAGTCATCCCGCTTCTTTTTGAAGTATGGCCAGTCGAATTCCGGTACCCCGCCAACCTTGAAGCCGTATGCGGACGCATCCTTAAACGTCTCTGCGATTGCCGCCGCATTCCAAGTCACTTTCTTAGGTACACAGCCTACATTGACACAAGTACCACCATATCGTTTCGACTCAACAGCAATGACCTTTGCGCCGTGCTTGGCGGCTCGTCGGCCGGAGGCGATACCCCCACTCCCAATACCGATGACTAGGTAATCACACTCCTTGGTCTCGGCCGACATCTTGAGACTCGTTGTCGAGAAGTGAGATGAGAGGTTCGCTAAGCGTGAGGATGCCACTGCGGTTCGTGGAGACTGGAAGTGGGGTCGAGACAAAATGGTGTGTCTTGTGGATGGAGGGGTAATGGTATGGAGACTCGCAGGTAGAGCTCGCAGTCTGTAAGCCGTGGTTCTTTGCATTAAGATTGCAGATCGGGTGCCAGCAGGTGCTTATATTATGACGACAACACACCCAGGCCGAAAATGCACCACCGTATTTAAGGACGGTTCTGGATTACTTTAGTAAGCCTAGATTATGCAGACACGGGCGTGCAGCTTCGCCTTGCTATTGTGCAGCCTCTGGAAAGATTCCTAGGTAGCAGCAATGGGAATTGAAAGGGCTGGACCTACGATGACAACGCAAATGGAGCAAGGTTGCCGAGGCACGCCACTTTTGATTATGCAGAAGTTTTGCGATTTTGCGCTTATGGAATCAACAGACGATGACGCGACCTCGGTCGACTAGTAAGGGTGCATGACGCTATACCGCTTGCGACAGCTGCTCTGACAATTACCTCATCGTTTTGGAGCTCCGCCTACTGCGCCCGCACGCGCCTACTACACAAACGCAATTGCATGTTCACCCATGTGAGGCCGACTTTGGGATTGTTGGTAGGATGAACATGCCAACAAATGACAGCAGCAGAACTTTCCTTGGATCCAGAGTCCTAAAGCAAACCCGACAATTCCCAAACGTATCACGCCATCCCCACTGTGAGCTTTGACACTGCGTACTTCATCGCGCGCACGATTGAGCACAGCAGTCTCGAGTCACACTTACTCTAACTTTCAGCAATGGGGGGAAGGCTTTCCATGCCCAAAGCCGCCGATGGCTTGAGTGAAATCCCCAAATCCGCACCTGGCAATGCACCAGCAAGTTTTTCACGGAACCGTGGTATCATCAATGGTCGCGTAAGATCTCTCTGCCGGAGGTAGGATATGTCTACAGTGTTTTCTCTGACCCGTATACAGACGGTCATGGCACCCCTAGCTGCCTTTACCATGGCCGGACTGCTATTCGTTTACGCTCGAACGTCAATACGTGCAGCCAAGCTCAATGCGCAAAAGCACAGAGAGGCAGATGGAGGTCAGATCAGTTGGCACAAAGAGAGCTTGAGGCGGCACGGGCAAATTGAGAGGCTGGATGATGATAGGGGAACGTTTGGAGAGGCGCTACTGGGAGATATGCGTAGGAAGAAACAGCACAAGGCCGAGGAGAATCAAAAGGTGTCAGCCGAGAGATCGGAAAACGATGCGGAGTTGAGGAAGATCATAGGCAAGAAAGATTGATGTAGCCAAGAAGGGGGGTCTAGCCGGCGATGGCAGCCATGTCAGACGTCTCTGCAGGAGGAACTTGGCTGAGCTAGTATGTGGAAACCCACGAGGGTTGAGGATGGCGTTTGCGTGTACAAGAATGAATTTCAGCATTTCTTGAAATTGAATATGATATCTCAAATGTGATGTGGTATCGGAAAGGAGCATGGCTACGTATGCCGGTGAGCTTAATTCAACCCAGGTACCATGGTCCGCGGCCGGTAGCCTCTTGTCATACACGTCCTGTCACAGATGCAGGCTTGCTGTCGGATGGCCAACGTCGGGTAGCTAGAGCGCAAGACGCGGTGTGGAAGAGGTCCTAGCACCAGCGCGCGACCTAGTGTTAAGATTGTGAATGAGAGAATGACTGCCCACACAGTACTGTGGCTGCAGTAGAGGGCGGATGTGATTCGCCCAAGCTATAGCGATGCATGTGGACTGGGGTAAGTGTTCAACTTCGCATAGGCGCGAACCGACCCCGCATTCCACACCGGCACTCTTGAATTACACACCTGTACAACGAGTTCTGGCAGGATGACGGCATGGGCAATCAAAAGAGTATACGCATGCCCAATGTCAAAGCAGCGATCGTCTTTTGCGTGTGGTGGGCGAGACATTTCTGCGATCTGGGAGACACATTGAAGTGCGATTCGGCTTGTCGATCACAGCCATGCGCCAATCAGGCCATAGTTCCGGTGACGGTTAAGCCGCTTTGGAGTGAGCTTAACCCCACCATTCCATCACCACGCTCCGAATCTATACACACTCAACAGCTTCCGCCATTGTCGCCCAACCTCCCACTCTGCCACCAACCCTACAACGTTACACCGATCGCGCGCACTCCTGCAACCCACTGAGCCTGACGACGCAGCGGTCTTCATGGAGCTTGTCTGGCTGCTGGCCCGATCGCGATTGCCGTAGGAAGACAGTACTGTCTTCCACAGCTAGCGATAGCCGGTATGCCCGCGCAGGAGGGGGAGAGGCCAAATTTACAAAGAGGCGTTTCCAGTAGGCCCCGTGATCTGACCGACGTCTCGAGAGCCGTCCTGCGCAGCGAGCAGGCAAAGCGATGGACAAAGCGGTACAGGACTGAGGTCGCTGCGAGCTCCAGTAGCCTTCTGTCTACCTTTGCTGCTGTGAGCGAACCCATTCACGACAACTTTCTACTGAGCTCTGAGGCACTGACAACTTCCAGTATCCTCTCGACTCGGTCAAAACCCGCCTGCAAGCGTACGCCAACTTTCCCTTATTCTCTCGTCAATTACGACTGACTCTAAACAGATACAAATTCAACTCTTTCGCCGACTGCGTCCGTCACACCTACAAAACCGAGGGTTTCCACGGGTTCTACCGTGGTAAGCCAATGATTTCTCCGCGGCATATCGAATGCATTCTAATACACGCGTCATAGGTGTTTGGTCTCCTCTCGCAAGCATAACACTTGTTCGCACGGTGTCCTTCTCCATATATCAACGCTCCAAATATGCGCTCGACAACTGGATTTACCAGACTACTGGGAGTTCACCACTCGTAATCGCGAATACCAAAGACGCATGGCCCACATTCTCGACAGTCGCCTGTTTTGGGCTGGCGGGAGTGAATGCGGGCGCAGCCATCACAGTCATTGCATGTACGGAGAAGGGGTTTCTGTTTGCATGTGAAGCCAACTAAATATCCTCTAGGTCCGTTCGAACTAACGAAACTAAGCGCACAAATTTCGGTGCTTATGGCCGAGCGTAACGATGGCGGCGGCAAAAACGAAGCGATACGGAAGAGTTACCAGAACCTAGGAACCTGGAAGACGGCACAAAATCTGGTCAGGCATCGGGGTTGGAGTGGCCTGTATTCTGGCTTTCATTTGCATCTACGTGGGTGAACCAAAGCACAAACGCAGAGGAAAATGTGTAGAAAGCTAACATTGCATAGTTCGGGATTCAATCGGCACCGGCATCTACTTCATTACATATGAGAGCGTGAAACAGGTTTTGGCAAAAGCACGCGGAACATCACCCACACATCCGTTGGCAGTTGTAATAGCTGGTGGTCTTTGTGGGCTGGTGAGTTGGGCATGTGTAAGTACGCCCAGAAAGAAAGTAAAGGCATACCTAACCGTCATTTCAGATATTCCCCATCGATACAGCCAAGAGCATCTATCAGCGCAACTGCCTTGTTGGAGGAAAAGATAAGGCCACTCGTCCGAAGATTCAATTTTTCAACCGTCGGATGTATCGAGGTGAGAATTAAGCCATTGAGATTTTTTAGGTTCGCTACTAACAAAGTCTAGGTCTGGGTGTATCGATGTCTCGCTCCTGCATTGTCAACGCAATTTTCTTTACTGTATTCGAGTTCACGAAGAAGCGCATTAACAGTATGACTTACGACGACGAGCTTCTGCTCGCCAATGGCGTATAAATGGGAATCTCGCGTTGTGTCGACATAGGGCATCCAATAGGCGCATAACATGCTTAACTGGAAATTGTTACACAGGTTATTGTGTTTTTTTGGATATGTTATCATGGGCACATTAACCAATTAAGTCAAACTCAGACAAACTCTGCAAGACATCTGGTGATTCTGCTACCGTCTACTCAGCTTTCATCTTTGCCAGTTCCATAACAAAGAGGACTTCATCTCACAACTTGCTTGGGTATTCGCTACCGTTCTCTGCTTTAGGATATCGCTGTAATCGATAAGGTTGGACTATCATATCATTCAGGGACGAATCGTCAATACTGGCTTGAGCAAGTCTAGATGCCATAATTCTCGACGAAAACCCACAGCGTTAGAAACATAGCTGTAGACCTGGCCGAACTACACGCATTCCCGTTACTCAACCCATGTCAACAAATGCCTTCTGTAATGCACGATGATACCAGGAAGCTATCTTCAAGACAGGGGTGGGGCGTGAAATGGCGCAACGACAAGCAGATAGAGGAAATTTGTACGTGTTGACGAAAAGAGGAGTCAGGTGGATTTTTTCGGAATAAAGAAAATGGGCACAAGCTAACACATGGGGGTATACAGAGTCACATGCTGGTGCGTGCAAGAAACGAACGCTAAGTGTGGCAGACAGAAACCCCTCCAAAGGTGAGTGACTGGCCCCGAATTGAACAACATGACTTGACTTCACTGCTGCGATAGCAAGGTTGTTGGAGGAATAGAGCAGCCTCTAAAGATATGGCATTTCGTTGCCCATTGTCATCACCTAGGGTATCACGGAGAGACTCCCGACATTGCGCTTTTCGAAGTATTCATTGACCTGCCGACCTAACATATCTCATGACGCCGTCTTTGTTTCTTCCGGGGAGGGCCCGTGTGCAAAACCGTGGTCACGGAGAGGTCGTGACTATTTCTACCCCAGCAATGGGGATATGCCCGCTGATGAATCCGTTGTACAACCCCGATAAAGGCAAATGTCGAAGAAAGGAAGAGAAAGAAGACGCTTAGTCGAAAAGACCGAAGCCCATGTCCTCGTCGGACTCCTCCTTCTCTGTTGGTGTGTTAGTCGGATCATCTGCCATCGCCATTGTGTGTGGGCCAACGTACCCTCTTCCTTCTTCTCCTCGGCTGCTGGTGCGGCGTCAGCGGCACCGCCAGCGGCGGCAGCACCACCAGCGGCAGCAGGGGCAGCAGCGCCGCCACCTGAGCCAACGTTCAGGAGCAGGTCCTTGACATCCTTGCCCTCAAGAGCCTATTCACACATCAGAAAATTGTCCTGGGACGCTGCATTGCCGTGAATGCGCACCTTGGCGAAAAGGGAGGTCCAGATGGGCTCGACGTCCTCGACCTTTGCGGCCTTGATAAGAGACTGGAGCTTGTCGGCCTGTTCAAATTAGCCATGGTGTCCGGAAACTGCACAGATGCACCTCGGGAGTCGTACAGTGATCTCGACACCGTCATCAGCGAGGATGAGAGCGGCATAGGAGGAGGCGAGCTCGGCGGTAGACATTGCGACGGTTGTGATCGTGAGATTGGTCGTGAGGTCGAGGTGTTGGTAGTTTCCAGACTGCTGAATTCGTTTGATGGTGTGGAAGGCGCTAGTGGTGTCCTTCGCTTAGCTCGGTCTAGCCTGTTTTAGGATGGAGGCTGACTTTGCCCCTCGGTGACGTTCCAAGCCCTTTCCCCGCTCTCGTGCTGCATCTTGGCTTCCCGCCCGGCTACGTGCAAGTTCGCATATTGCTGCACTCCAGGCCCTCACCAACCACCGAGTTAGGCTCAACCCCACCTCGAGACGACCCGGACATCGCTGCATGATTCTTGTGGACCACCATGACTGACTCTCCACTGCCGCGGATTCCGCTCGACCCGAAAGAGCAGCCTATTCTCGACAGGCTGCAATCCATCCGGACAGAGCTCGAGTTGCTGAAGCGCGACCGATCGACTTATGTTAAGAGCCAGGATGTCTTGAAGCTGTACGATCAGGTTATCGAGCAGGTCATAGTTTTGAACGAGATACGCGAAACGAAGCGTTTTGAGCAGAACAAAGGTATGTCACGTTGCCACCTGCCGAATGTAGCCGCAAATCCGCTGATATCTTCTTGTAGTTGACTACATGCTTGATGATTGTTTTCAGCTCATCTCACTTGCATATCTCACCATCGGAAAGAACCATGAACCACCAGCAGTGTATGCATTTAACCGCTGTTTACTTTGTGCATACTGACCTCTCTACAGATACTCTTACATCTCAACGGTCAAAGTAAGAAAAGACATGCCGTGTATATGATTCTAATACCAAGTTCTAATGAGTTTTAGCGCATACTGGATCACCTCAAGGAAGCTACATTCTATTCGCAAAAGGACCTTGAAGCACTTGACAAGAACCTGAAGGACTGTCGGGACTATATCGAGCGAGGCAAAGATTCGTACAGCCCCCACCTTTTTACTCTTCTCGACGCTCGTGTCAAGGTTTGCGAAGAGATCCTAGCCGAACTGAAACTCAACTTATCCGAGCTTACTCCCGAACTGATACCAAAATGGGAGAAGCTGGTGTCAATATTAAGATCAACTTGCGGCTGCAATACACGATCGAAGGTGGGTTGTCTTCGTGAGGCACTCTGTGTATATGCTCACCGATTCTTAGTTCCCTCATGATGAAGTTCAAGAGTACGAGCAGGAGCTAAGCAAGCTAAATGATGAACTCAAAGAATACGGAATTCATGCATATGAGACCACCGGCTCAACCGAAGAGAAGCTAGCCGAGATGGTTGACAAAATGCAGCTCACCCAAGAAAACCCCGAGCCAGCACCAGAAGCAGAAACTCTCATTGGCACATTGTTGAGGCGAAATTTGCTTTGGCTTGCGCTAATCAAGCAAAAGTGCGCGCCTTCCTGTTCCTTTCCAATCGCTAGCTAATGCATATATAGGCAAGGACGCATAGCACCGGCCTTCAAAGACACTTATGACAAGCTTCTCACTATCAGAAACAAGCTTGAAAAGCTTTTGCTTACGCAAGCATGGTCACTCCGTGAGACAGATCTCTGGGACTTTCAGCGTCAGCTTGACCGCATAGACGAGGCACGGGTAGACGGCAACTTCATCGATGCACTAGGTCGCCCATCTGAGATCTACGAGCAAAGAGTATGTGCCACCTGCACTATGAGAACTCATAGACTAATATATCAAGACACTACTGTACCTCTTACGGAAAGGCTTTGCACTCATCTACCAGTTGCTCTTAACATCCGAACCTGTATCTGAAGCACTGTTGCCAATCTACAACCAATTGACAACTCTTCGAAAATGTCTTCTCGAAGTGAAGAAATTGGGAGGCGTATCATCACCAAGAGAACTGTACCCGTATAGCATGAAGGTTTGTGTTTCGTAATGCTACTTCAATTTGTGTACTGATGTAGGAGCAGTTGAATTCAATCGACAATATGCGTGTAGATGGAAAGTTCATGGTGGGCGACGAGATACCGGATGGTCAAGGCCGCGTAACACAACTCCTGGAAGAATGTTTCGAGCTCGCTTATGACCTAAGAAACGACGCCGAAGACGACAGTTCTGTAGACGCTACACCATCAAGCGAAAAACCAGAGCCTCTTAGCACTTAACTACTATCTGCTTCTTTGCACACAATCTCCAAGGCTACCGCTTTCAACATGATCGCCTCCTCCCCTTCAGCATAGCAACTAGCTGGGGAAGAGCCCTGCACCGGATGCGCTTGTTTTCTCGACCCTTGTACTTTACTATCTTTAATATGGCTCTATCATTCTCAACTGCTCGATTTCATCTTCAAGTGGCGCTGGAGGTAGCATATCCGCATCCTTAAATGTTAGGTGGCTGCCATACGATATGCCTAGATCTATTAGTGTCTTTTCAGTTTTGATATGAAATATTCTTCTCTTTTCGCTTACAGAGCTCTTCACCTGCAGCAATATCTCTCAAGGCTCGGTATGTTATGATCTTGCGACCGAGGTCTCGCATCCATCCCACATTCTGCTCTTGGGTCGAGTGGTTGAACATGCTCCCTAGTCCAAAGACGACTGCTTGCGAAACTTGGTGATCACCATGCGCATCTGTTTGGGGCCAGTTGCTGGACTAAGTCAGGTCTATATACTTGCAGTCGACCATTGACGTGTTTTTTGTAGAGCTGTTGCCGAAGCCATCTAGGAACTTGTGACATGGGAAGGGGGGGATTGAGTCTATGTGTCTTTGGTACCAGTGCACGGATTGAGTTATGAAGCAGGCATGTACAGGAGTCGGAGAGTGAGAATACCTACTAGGTATAGTGATAAAGGCAAGTGTTCTCTATATGCTTCTTATTCTCATCTATTCCCAATATTAAGACGGGACAAATGTCTATGATGGTCTGTGCGGGAATGTCTTTTGTTGCGAACACACCCCGTCCTGCAAGTTCTCATCAGTATAACTTAACGCAGAATCCGCCATGGGACGAAACACATAACTTTGGGGGTGTCAGTCTTGATGATCAGATGTGGACATCGCTGAAGCTGGATGTCTTCTTGACCGGATGAAACATCCATACTTTATGTAATTTTCTTTTGCGTTGTAACACAAAGACAAAAAAACCCCCAGCAAAACAAGTGAGCACCAACAGCGCAAAGCGGAATCTCGGCGCAAAAAGTTAATTCTTATGGCTTGAGTACATCGGTTCACGATATCGGTTAAATTTTGTCGCCGAGCTAAGTCCGCACCGGCCCGATATTTGGATACTCTCCGATGATGCGTTTGCCCCACTTGAACTTGAGCCTGGTCTTTGTCACAAGCTCCGTGACCTTGCAACACAACGGCCGTCAACATGGCTCAACAGCGAGGCCCTGCAATGGGAGACTCTCTCAAGACGGCACACTCGGTGAGCCTGAAGGTGCTGAGGTGCGTATCACACAGAATAATGCGATTTAATGGCAATCGGTCCTCGTAGTATCACTGAATGGCCAGAGTCTATATGCGCTTATCATTGCCGTTCAAGAGAGGTAGCAGTCACTGACGGTACCAGACTTTCTCGTCCGATGCTTGCTACGCAGCATCCACTTCCAAACTCGAAAGACCTGGGTATATCGCCACAAGCCTCACTCGCCTATCCTTCACAGCGGAATACCAACGATGCATTCATTCTCAGTCCTGTGTTGAACCTCCCTGAAGCTTTCGGCAGTGCTTATGTTGGTGAAACATTCTCCTGTACACTATGTGCAAACAACGAGCTCGATCCATCAGACATTACAAAAGCAATTAGCGGCGTAAGGATACAAGGGGACATGCAAACGCCTTCGAACCCTACCGGCTCACCACTGGACCTAACAGGCACACCGGACGAAGATTCCAATCCTCCCCCTGGACCAGGTGAGTCGCTGCAGCGGATCCTAAGGTTCGAGCTGAAGGAGGAGGGGAATCACGTATTGGCGGTGACGGTCACATACACTGAAACAGCTTTAGGAGAGGGAAAAGCAGCAAGTGGAAGAGTCCGGACTTTCCGCAAACTGTATCAGTTTGTGGCTCAGCAGTTGCTCAGTGTAAGGACGAAGGCTGGGGAGATGAGCCCGAAGAATGGATCACGCCGATATCTGCTGGAGGCGCAATTGGAAAATATGGGGGAAGCGGCAGTCTGTTTAGAGGTTTGTTCTCCCAGTTCCGAGTAACGAGTCAGATCTACGCCACTTTTTGCCTGATACGCTCGCGGGCGCAGCGATTCAAGCACAAGCTCGATCGTGATCATAAACCGCCATTCCGCAACACATGTGGATCCCGGCGCTATGACAATAGCCTACCACAACCACGATTCCCCGGTATATGCCAAACCTGTACTGATTCTGAATAGGCTGTCGACGTCAATCCGAAACTGCCTTTAAAATCAACATCGCTAAATTGGGATATGCAAGCCTCAGGACTCAATGCACCAATGCTGAGTCCGCGCGATGTTGTGCAAGTGGCTTTCTTGCTTACCTACAAACCCGGCGAAGACGAGGAAGTCGAGGGCTCCAAGACTGAAGACGACAAACGAGTCTTGGGCCAACTAGCGATTCAATGGAGAAGCGCGCTTGGTGATAGGGGCTCGCTCAGTACGGGATGGCTGACGGCTCGTCGCTGAGGATACTACTTGAGGATAAGGTTTGCAGGACCCGCTCCCAGATGGCCAAGAGCAGTACAAATGGTCTGTACTGACGGGATGACACTCGTGCCTACGGTTTATGAGGGGCTGATCTTGGCTATTGGGCCTACTTTGTTTATGTGTGTGTGTGTGTGGATGGCGCCTAAGTGAAGCCAGTCGGAAGGCACTCCGAAAAGGTGTAGGGTGTGATTGGATGATTATCGTCGGCCACGATTCGTCACTGAAAAGCAAACAAACAACAGGGCCGCAAGTTATATACATACTATATGTTGTGCGCGTCCGGGTGCCATAAGCTCCACGGAAGACGGTTGTCAAGCAAGGCAGAGAGGGATTGGGGGAGATTGCGTGGCAGGCGCATAGGTATGTTTGTATACATGTGACGAGTTAATTTGTAGAAGGGTGTGTTGTGGTGTGGCTAGCTGCTTCCAAATCGAGGTAGCCGGGATGTGGAGGAGTGTCACTTTGGATCGATCTGCAAGTGAAGCGAGTCAAAAGCATGTACGTTTGGACTCAGCCACCTCCGAGAAACCCGAACGCACGTGGAAGCGCGAAATCTATTCTCCTCGAGAAAGCAATATAGGGCTATTGCGTCAATGACTAGCGCGAGGCGTCGTAGTGTGGAGAACCGGCTTCGAGGGGAAAGGATGTGTGGCGCTGATCTCCGCAGGGCGTCATCAGCCCGGCAGGCAGGAACAGGGTACCCCAGACGCAGTTCGGATCCTGGGAAAGATAAGAGACGCGGCCATGTCAGGAATCACGAACTGACGGAGGGTCCCAAGACGGGCGAAGGATGGCCTCTGCTTGACGAAGACGGGGGCCCGCACATGTATGACTTTGAATGTTTGATCATGTCTCGGCTGATAAGATGGAAGAGGGCGAGAGGCCGGGCAGGGAGGCGTAGGAAGAGTGGGTGGTAGAGCTCGCTTATGAGGAAAGCTATGGGCCGACTACTTTTGGGGGAGGGGGGGCGCTGCAGTTGTCAGATTTGAGAGGGGCATTGGGTGCGCCCTGGTCAATTTAGGACGTCGACTCAAGATCGACAAGAACCAGTGAGATCGACGGGTCGAACTGGCTTGATCATGTACGTAGTTGGATAGTATGCGGGCACAGGCGTATAGGTATGTATGTGTGCACATTTGGAAGTATTGGCAAGGAGGCAGACAAGAGCCTAAATTAGCCTAGGAACCATGGGGTTGGAAGGGCAACAGCAGTGGCAGCGGGATAGATGGCCGGGACACGGGATTCCAGACGGCTCAGGCACGCCTTGTCGGTGTGCAGTGGAATGCAAAGTGGGAGAGGGAGGTTTTGTGTAAGTACATGTGTATGTGTGTATGTATGTATGTATGTATGTATGTATGTATATATGTACGTATGCACATATGCACAGGTGTGTAAGTAAGTAGGACAGCAACAGGGCGGGTGTGTGAAATGTGCGGCTGGTTGCAGATGGCAGTGGGGCAGCATGTTTTCTTTGTCTGGGACGTTGGACAGGTTGCCAGGTGTAGCGCATGGCAGCGAACCATGGACGTGGCCAAAGTCGGCATGCCGGCCCCCCTATTTGCTATCATCAGGCCGTGGCAGCGGTACGGTCCAGATGATTGAGGTGAAACGGAAAGGCAGATTGCAAGCACACCACCTCGACGGTATGGTGGACGGAGAGGCAGACGCAGACGCAGATGCACGTCGTATATCCTAATGACAGCCCTGGCGGTCGCGCGCACCGACTCGGCGGCCCCTGAGTAGAGAGTGTCGCACCGGGAATGGCAAGGCAGCGGCAGGCCCAAATAGCACAAATCAGCCAATGGCAGGCCCAGGATGGCGGTCGCGGCTGCTGGCTGCTCTCAAGGCGGGAAGGGACCCAGACTGTGCCTTCCCCTTCGGTGTGGGCCCCCCCTGGTCGTGCCTTCCGAGGACAGGGTCTTGCAGCGCTGCACACTGCACATGGGAGGCCGGCACACCAAAGCCGTGCCTGTGCACTGTTATGTATCGTCACGCCCGGGCAGTGCAACACACACCCATACACCATACACACACGCACACGCACACACACACGAATGCCCCTCTCAGAATCAAAAGTATAATCCACCTCGTTCAAGCCCGCGGTTGGCGGATGGCGGCAGTGCCTTGCATGGCCCAGCAACTGGCGTTGACTGCCCCCGCGGCCACTCGACCATTGCGTGCATGCACACAAGCTGCAGCAGTCCGGCCCAGGCCAAGCGCCGACACATGTTGACCGCGGGAGCTGTCAAGCGCTAACCGGCCTGCCTCCTCATGCCTTGGTGATAAGAGCGCAAGACGGGAAGAGGCCCTGCGATGACGGTAAATGGGGACTAGCTGCTGTCTCCATGTAACTGGGGCACTTGGGCCTGCGTCTGTCCTTTTCAATGGCTTGTGACCAGGCGCGCTGTGCATTGAACCCTTCTCCACCGGCCCTCTCCCCATTCACTCTCTTGTGCCCGCAGCAACCACCCACTGCTTGGCTTCACAAAACACCGCCCCCCCATCCCTACAAACCCTCTGCTGCCCCTGCCACTGCCCCTCACCGCACTTCCCACCTCAGACACTCGCTGCCTTGCCTGCCACGTCTGCCCAGCCAAGTCAATCGTCTCGTTGGGCTTCCCCTTCGGCGCCGGTCCATCTGCATTTGACGGTCACTGTCGCACCACTTGTCTCCCACGACGCGCATAACCACCCACTGCGCTGCTCACCACAAATACTTACCCATTGGACCTGGCGTCCAATCCCCAATGACATAGACGACCAAAGGCGACCCAACGCCCAACACGCCCCCCCCTCCCCCTGGCTGCCCAGTCCAGTCCTCCCACCTTCTTTCGTCGACGAGTCTTTCTTGGATATCCTATGCCCACCTACCACCATGGCGCCTGCTCCCCCCTCCTCTTCCGCCACGGCTGACCAGTCGCCGCCCCCGCTCGCCGACTACTTCTTCATCTCCGGCATCGAGTCATCGCAGGTTTACGATGAGCGCACCCAGAATAATGTCATAGTCACCTCCCCACTGGCCCAACCGCCCGTCGATGAGACAATCGAAGAGGACCGCGCTCTCGAGACGGATGCCATACGCCCAACTTCACAGGACGGCCTGTCCCATCGCGATAGGGGGCGGTCAAGGTCGCGGTCACGCTCTGCAAATCGCCTCAGCGAAAACCGCCAGTCAGTCAGCACAATCATTGGGCCAGACGCAAAGCCGACGGCAAGCAACCGGAGTAGCGCCACCATCAAGGGCCTGCAGCTTGGCGGCTCTGGTCTGAGCGACCAGGAGTTCGACATTGCCCTTCGCAAATTTGCCTCTGAGCGAGATTCATTCCTCGAGGAGATACAGTTCACTGCTGGTGTTGCACAGCAGTCTCGCCCCACTTCCACTAGGCCACGCCCGCGACCTCAGCGCGTTTCACAGGCCAACCCAGAAGATGGTGTCGGTAATCTTCGTTCCGGCGTTGGTAGCATCCGGCGGCGCATATCCACTATGCAAAGCAGCCTGAAGAGACAGCCGTCGACTGCAAGACAAGGTAAGTTGACATCATATTATGCATGCAAAAGGCCATACTGCCTACACAGCTACCTTTCGGCACGATATGATATTGCTTTTTGCTTTTTTTCTCCCTCTATCGACGATTGCTGACATGCACGTAGCCTCGATCCGAACCTCCAAACGAATGTCCGGGTACAATTCGGTAATACCGGCACCGCAGCCTTTCGCGCCAGACCCGGATATGCATCCTCTTCTCCGTCGGTACGAGCCAGTCCTACTAGATCGTTATCCGCCAAGGAACATGGTCGAGGAACTCAAGAAGCGCAACCCCTTTCCGGATTATGTACCCATGTTTGCTTTTCCAAATGATGTTAGTGTCGTCTCCTCGGACGAGAGACCAAAGAGCCAATGGCACGGATTTGCCATGACCAACGGAGACGGATCAAAGCTTTACGGCATTTGCCTTATTGTCTGGTTGCCTTTGAATGCCACAGCTGCTGAGGGCCTTGAGCGCCAGTGCGAGGAATGGCGAAACCTGCACATGAATCCCGAGGAACGGGAATTGGCAAGCAGCCTGGGCGAGCGTCTTGCACTAGAGCGTGCCAAGTTGTCTCAGCTCCTAACCAAGCTTCCCTCGGTAGCTCCCGATTCTGAAGAACGCGACAATCTCGACGATGAGATTGGGGCGGTGGAAGAAAAAATTCAGCTCATGACGGACCTGCTCCGCCCGGTACGACATGGTGCAGCCTCCAAGATTGAAGGTCTTACTGATGGGGAGACTGGCCTGTGGATTCCACGCGCTTATGGTGTTTTGGGACGAGACGCAAGCCTTACGCCATTCTGGAAAGAGTGGTTAAAGGCAGTTACCGTACCTATGACTACTGGTGCGGTTCTCCGCGTGCCGGCAAGCTCACCGCGAGTAGGCATGTGGCAACCGCTCGAACGGTACGTAGTCAATCTATGTGCAGAGGCACTTAGTCCGATTACCTCCGTTACACAGGTCGAACTAGCTGTTCGGGAGCTTCGCATGTATGCTCGGAAAGAAGCTGTCAACGAGTTGCCGGGGTCCCGCAACATTGACATTTACGCCCTCTTCCGCTGCATGTCTATCCCCAACATAATCACTCTGTTCGAATTTGTTCTCTCTGAGGCTAGGATTATCCTCCTGTCTTCTCACACAGCCATGCTGCATCTAGCGAGCATGGCAATCACCAACCTGCTATATCCTTTCCAATGGACCGGCGTCTTCATCCCCGTCCTGCCATCCCGTCTCGTTCAGACTATCGAGGCACCTTGTCCCTACATTGTTGGAATCGAACGCCGTTACGAACCCGCTGATTACCCAGAAGACGATTATGTATTAGTTGATTTAGATGCCGACTCGATAGTATCCAATGGTCCTCCGCCGCCAGCGCTTCCTCGCCAGCAGCGGCGGAAGCTCATGTCCTTGCTCCAGCAGTCCGCCCCGCATCATACACAATACGGCGTGCCTACTGGTCCACCTGCGTATGCGATCGAAGCATTTCCATTCGACACATTCGCATCTGAAAATCCTGGGGTTTTTTCGCACAGGGCACAACCATTGACGATACAGAATTATGTTGGATTGAACTCGACTTCATTCGGCACAGTTCTTGGGCCACCAAGCTCGAAGGTCCTAATCTACAACGCCTTTTTGCAATCAAGTGCCTTGAGTCGCGGAAACGACAGGCCATCAACAGCAACAACCATCAAGTCACACCACTCTCCACCTTCACCCAAGGTCTCTCCTGTTTCTACGGTATTTCCGCCCATGCCAGGCACGCCTATATCGCGCAGCGATTCTGGGTATGCTCTCCAGGCTAACCTTCGGGAGAAGAGATCTGCGCATTTCGACTCTTCAAGTAGGCGAAGCTCGTCAGTAAGTTTGGTTCTCTACATGTTGATCGCCCATGGACTAACGTAGCTAGTTTGGTTTTGAGCGTGTGCCTCCGCTTCGGCGCCCTTCTCAGCCGTTCACCGGCCATACTCCCAGTGCATCCACGTCATCCCTGAGTCAAGAATACAAAGCAGCTAGCTCTTCGTATGCGCCGTCAGTTTATGCGCAGTCAACGCTGGCTGCGTCAACGATTATGCCTGGTATGGCAGTGCAACAGGTGCGCAATACTTCGACCACGCAATGGCAGGAGGGGCATTGTTTGCAGTGGAGACCCAACGAAGATCGTGCTGTTTGTTCCATCTGCGAAGAGAAATCAGACGATGGTCTATATCGCTGTTCTGGTAAGTTCTGAGTGCTTGCAAATTTAGCGGGTGTTCTTTTGGTTAACCCTGTGCAGGTTGCAGCACGTATGCCCATAACCGATGTGTGGAATCTATTTGCATTGTGTGCCCTACGGCGTTTCGTCCAGATCAGGTTCGAGCATCGTTTGTACGATGCTTCGCTAGCCTATTTTACACTTATCGACGTTACCTGGTCCCGGCTACTGGGGAACGTAAGAAGTCTGGTATGCATTATGAATTCAAGATGGATGAGTTCGTAAAGAGCCTGCCAGTAGAAAATGTGCAGTACATTACTGCACTCCAGCAAACACAAGGTTTGTAACTGAAGCCCCCCCCCCTCTTTTTTTGACAAAAAATGTCTAACGATACACTAGCTTTCAACGAATTTATCCATGAGCGTGAGAGCAAATCCGCCGACGATGCTTCCATTAAACTCTTTGATGAGGTTATTCTAGCGAAGCGCAACCGCGGAAAGTCGTCGTTCTTCTACAAATCGAAGGTGGACTTTTTATCAGACACGACAAACCACTTGTGGCATACTGCCTCTGCGACACCGCCAAATTCACGCTTTCCAGGCGATTATCGCTCTGTCGTCAGTCGGAGTATGTTCTATTCACCCCCTCACTCGAAACCTGCTAACAAATCGCGTAGTCCCTGCAAAGCTTGACCCTACGCTGATGAAGGAACCGCGCGTCATCCAAGGCGTACCTCGCATACCTCAGGCCAAAGCTCGTCGCAAGCCTATACCATCTATGCTTGGCCCAGGCAGCAATGATCCTCCACAGATACATATCTCATGATCTACATTTAAGCTTCCCGCTCTCTATAACGACAAACCCCGACCTCCATGCCTCCTCCTGTCTCGTCGTACTCTCACCTTTTTGCCTTATTATTGTGTTTTACATACCTAGCGACGGAGTTTGTGGCGCATTGCAGCATCATTGGTAGGGCAACTTGATAGTCCACTAATTGGTGCTTGCCTCTCAGATTGGATATCTGATGGAACAACTGAATCCTGATCTTCGGAATCATACTGCATTACATGGGATAGATTAGCATGCCTGCACATGGATCATTATTGGATCCACTGCCCGTTCTGGTACCTATTTTGTCGGCTGTGGAGTTCTCAATAAAATAAAGCCTCGTATTGCGGATACATCGTTGTAATAGCTTTTTTTTAGTCATTAGTCGCCTCAGGTTGGCGCCTCCGGTTCTGGACTGGCGAGCTTCTTTCTTTGTACATTATTGTTTCTGAAGTATACGATAAGAAAACAGCTGGCGGAAGATATGTGGCGCCTCGAAAGTGCCTTGTGTATCACCGGAAATCGAACCTGAATCACCATACTCCCCTTACCTCTCGCCATCTGGACCAGTCGAAAGGATAGAATGCACGTCGCCTCTGAGCTATGGCCTTGCGGCATTCGGTCAGCACATCCAATCAGCGCTTGTTTCAAAACTTTGTTCCTGACAAGGCTCGTTAGCGTAGACTTTAAATAGATAAGCGTCCAGTCATCGGCTTGGCGGACGCGCGGTGAGACAAGCCCCTTGAGGACTGCTCTTTGATGACCTTCTTGACGCGCCTGCTGCTTTCTTTCTTCACCGACACTCTTTGTTGTACATTCGTTCTTTTTGGATCGCTCGCTCATCCTCACTCGTTAGGCTGCACTATTGTTAATAAAAAATAATTCAACCCTCGACACCAGCCATTCCAAAACAGTCAATAAATATGCTCGGACGCTCCGTTTTTGCCGCGACTCTTTTCGCGCTTGCTCAATTCGCTGTCGCCGCGCCCCCTGCCTGTCTTCTTGCGGCAGCTGGCCAATACAATGACCCGGCCACGATCAAGATGGTATGCCAATCCAAGGACATGAAGTCCCTGGTTGCCACGATTTGTCCCAACGATGTGGACGCTGCGGTCGCGGCGCTTGCAGATATCTGCAATAGCCAGAATACCAATGTTGGTAAGTACACTGCTATCTTGCGTTGTAGTCGGTGTGCAGAAAAGGCAGAAGAGGAACTGCGACGGCATTTGAGATCAACCTACTAATACTTTTATGCAGCCTCCGGCATATCTTCTGCGACCGCCCCCTTGACCACGGGCTCATCATCCCCTAAGCCTACCAGCACTGAGGCCTCTACTCTGGTTCCTCTGTACCCTACTGGCTCTGGCAGTCACAACAGCGCAAATGGCACCGCTCCCATGTCGACTGGCAGTCACAACAGCGCAAATGGTACCACTCCCATGTCGACTGGCAGTCACAATAGCGCAAATGGTACCACTCCCATCGCGACTGGTACTCCCAAGCCTGTTACCAGCGCCACTGGCCCTGCTAGTGTTCCCAGTCCCAGCGGCGCCGCTGGGAAGGTCGATCTCGGACTCGCAGCTGTTTTCGCCGGATTCATGGTTGCTGCTTTGTAAATTAGCCGCGGAACAGAGTGGTGAAAGATAGTTTGGTGTAATTGTGGCGATGGATTGGGTATGATGTTGGGTAGTTCGTCGTACATAATTAGAAACTATTTTGAATAAATATTGGACAAAACAAAACACAAACAACAAAAGAAACGCATCACCCACCCAACCAGTAAAAGCATGCACAACTCGATGCTAATGTCGTATTACATATCGATTTCTTTGCTTTTTCACAACAATACGTTCTCGAATTACCATCCAACTGTGTTGTTTACTATCTAACTTGACTTAATATACATAACCTTTTCTTTTCCCCGCATACCCCCTTCTCCCCCTAGTATCAACAATCGGAAATTGCTGGAGAATATTACCCGCCTCTTGGCACGAAAGCCTGAGGAAAACCTACCGCAATTTCCCGACTATCGCGAAACAGCCCGGTGCTCTCATCCCCTACCCACATATACACAGTTTCCCCTTTAGGGCCGAGTACATCACTCTAACTATTGCTACATGCCTCAACCGCAACCCTGACCCGACTATCAAACGAAAGGCATACTAGGAGGAGGAAAACGCGGGGTAGTTGGTAGTGCACCCTACGCCCATACCCACCCAACAAGCCCCAAAAGTCTAGACTCTTCCGCGGAGAGTAAGTAGAAGCTGGGCGCCCATGTAGCGCGCATACACACACACACACACATGTTTCGTGTCGAAGACCATGTTTCGCGTCGAGGACTAGAGTCTACGTCTGCCTTAATTCCTCGGAGTCCGCGCATTCGTTTAGCGGTGCGATTCTAGACTCCGATGGTTTAAGCGAGTACTTACGTGTAGGAGGTTCCGCGTCCGGGGGTGGGAGGGGGGGAAGTGGCTACCGCTATTACTGCGAATCTAGATGAAAGCGACCCCCTTCCCTCCCCTCCCCCGCGCATACACTCTATTGGTGGTTTCAAAGCTGGGTTAGCGGTCAGACTTGCAGTCGTGTGGTTGCGACAGGCGGTGGTGCCGGACCCTTTCTCTATGTTTTTTTTTGCTTTTTTCTGGGTCCGCTTAATCCTGGTGCGAAGGCTGGGGGTGACGGCTGGGTGCCCCTCATTGCCCCACGCTTTTGTTACTATCTCAAATTTTTGGCACCTCGCTTCTCGTAGCTGGCAGCGTTGATGGAAATCTTTTCCTAGTATATAGATTTTATTAAAAATCGAACTTTCATATATCATCTGGCAAGATGGCCGAGCGGTCTAAGGCGCTAGCTTCAGGTGCTAGTAGAGAAATCTGCGTGGGTTCGAATCCCACTCTTGTCATCATCATTTCTTTTTGCTCTTCTTGAGGTTCTTGTGGTTCTGGTCGTGGTTGATATCCTCTGATTTTTTTGTCCAAAAAGTTGAGATGAATGGGAGGTCTGTGCGTTGAAGCCCCCTCTTATCTCTATCTCATCTTTTTCTTCATGTATATACACCATAGAGGCTTGTTCCTGCTTCTACGAATGCACTGGCAGAGTATATAAGCAGTCATTGCTGATTGAGGTGCCTTGGGAAACTGATATTGCCTGCTCCGAACTTTTCCTTATCGCATTATCAGTTGCTTGTCGGCAAGCATACAAGAAAACATGTTCGTCAGCCAGTATTCTATATGTTAGGTAACAAATTTCGCGTTTGTACAAACGCCTAGATGGAATTTTATTCTAGTAGATCTCTCAGAGGAGTGTTCCCTGAATCACGCCCCTGCTTATCATGGGTTACTAGTTTAGGCATCTGCTTGTTTCTATCGGAACATTTTATGAGTTGTCTGCAGTGCGATAACAGATCCGTATCCAGCCAATATGCATGAGAAATAAACAATGATTACCTGAGAGATCTCCTGCGTCGTCTGACGAGTCTATTTCTTAGTTATAATTCAGCCTCTAGAATCGAAACTCGAAAGTGAACTTTGCTATTCCTACAGAATTGTAAAGATGTAACTACATACTGAGTAGAGTTCCTGCATTAACGAATCTAAAGATACTCATACCTACAAGCGGTAGGCTCTCTTCTCCCTAAAAATAACCCGTGTATTGATACTATACCTGATGTTTACTAGGCATTTTTGTTACCCCTTGAAGGCTGATGAGGCGTGCTGTTCCGATCATGTGCCGTGCTGTTTTCGATACCTTCTGAGAGTTAGTGGAACAAGTGCACTTTTGAAATCGTTCATCTTGCCAGTCGCGATAGGAGGCCATTACTTTGTGAAAATACGAAATTCAGTAGCAGTATCTTATCAAGAAAAAGGCCGACCGAGCCTCTTCTAAGTGGCCAGAGGGTCGTTTCTTTGGTAGTTTATCCAGGAAACACAAAATTTGTGGCTATGCTACACGTTGTGAGTCGAAGATGATTAGAAAGAAGGCTCTGGGCGAGGAAATTCAGATTTGACCCATGTGATTCTAACGACAGTCTGGAGTTGCTCGCTACCTCACACTAGTGTGTCCTTTACATAAGAGTGTTACACAGGTTTATATAAAGTTGTTAATCTACTCTAGTAAAGCCCCAGGCATGTTAAAGGTTGGATTTTCTTCTGTCAGATATGAGGTCAGTAGGGTTAGAACGGGTAGGCTCCAGTGTGATGCTTAAAACATCACGTGGCAGGGGATGTGCGGCAATATGGTAGTCAGTTCACATTCTAGAGCTTATTTGCCTATTCATTATCGTCCGATTAACTGGAACGTATACTGATTTTCTATGATATCCTGAATATAAATACTAGACAACCACTTCTTGTTTTCGTTCTCCTCTACTATTATGTGAAAGAGGCTGTGCGTTATTTCCTGGCTCCATGCACATGAACAGCTTCTCTCAGCACATTCTAAGATGTTACAAATGGTAGCGACTTAGTTCTTTTCAACTTGACCAAGAAACACGAAGGCGATATACATTTGACCCCCTGTCATTGGAAGGATGGCAGTGAAGGTATTCATAAAAGCACAGTATCGCCAGAGCACCCATGACGTATGTTTACTAAGAAATAATCTACCAACATCTGCCTAAAAGGTCCTCATTCTACGATGAATGATTGAGCACTGGTGTTGCATGATGTTCCAGCTTTTGAAGTAGTAATCTGGGAGTCTGACGGTTGCAATTCAACGAGGGTCCCATGAGCTTGCCTTTCGTGCTAACTTGGCAATTGTGATTGGATGTTAAAATGACGCAGCATGTATCAGCGGTTGAGTGTCCCAAGTAACAGCTCAGCGTCCCCATAGCAACGTCTCTCTCTTCTTGTGTACATGTATCTACGTGGTGGTTCTCCATTTGACGCATGTAGTCCTACCGCAGTCAAACCAGAAAGCGTGCGACGTTCGAGAGATATCCTATTAGATATACCGTTATATCCTTCGAGTCATCCATCGAGCCTCTCCCAATATACGGTACATCGATAATTCTAGACTGCAGGATCTTCTGCTTATTTGTCCAACCACTACTCACTCATGTCATCAGTTGTTACTGCTAGACTGTCACTCGCTCATGTCAAAGACAGGTGGCACTTCCACATTCTAAAAGTACACGCACTTTCCAATGATCTTGAAAGTGTACCAGTACCTAACAGTGGTGCCTGCTAATCATATATCCTCTAATGCTGTTCAATTTCGGCAGGCATCCTCGCCGTCCCCTATATCATGGCCAAACTCCCGCTCTATTCTTCCCTTCCCTCCATCCATCATCATTGTCAGAACGAAGATAACTTCAATATCATCATTCATCTTTCATTATTCATCATCCATACTGTCGCATCATCGCGACAGCATATCATTTATAAATCCTTTTTCCATGCCATACCACCATTACGATGGCATCCTCTGGCAGCAAACGGTGGAGTGAGGCCGAACCATCAGCCAAATCCTGGCGAAATAGATCCTCCTTCTCCTCCTCTTCTTCTTCTTCTTCTTCTTCATCCTCCTCATCCTGCTCCTGGAGGAGCCGACCCACCTCCTCCTCATCTTCTTCTTCATTTTCATCATCATCCGACTCCTGGAGGAGCCTACCCACCTCCTCCTCTTCATTTTCTTCTTCATCATTATCATCATCACCATCACCGCCACTAAAGTCCCATAACCCATGGGCAACCGCAAACAACTAGCGGAGTGGCTCCCCGCCAAAGTCCCTCGACAAGCCGGTGACGACACCGGATTTCGACAAGCTCACAGAGGGGCAAGTTTTATACCTTGGAGTACCTCCTCCAAGCTCAATCTTCTGGCAACGCCAGGATGGTTCCTCTCCAGAGGGACACCCTGTGGTAGTTGTCGGAAAGTACTGGGACCAGAACGGAGAAGAATGCGTCAAGCTCCGGCTGGTGACGAGTTTCGGCGGCCAGCGGATTCAAGACAAGAAGCCGTTCTGGCAATGGAAGTTTTTTATGCTCTGTGAGAACTCACAGGAGCAGGCCGAAACGGAAGAGGTCCGTCTGGCCAAAGTGGCATCCGGTTGTGAAGCGTTCAAGAAACGCTGCTACGTCAACCTGAGCCCAAACTCGCTTTACCATATCGAGTACAGGCACCTGGGTATTTTCGCTGCCCAGCCAAACATCAGATTCGACAGCCTGTCAACAAGCGAGATGAAGAATGCTTCCAGCGAACTGCTAGGTAGCACTTGTTGACAGGGCCGGATGCCACTCCTCTCTGGACAATGCCGAACGCCACCGTTGGGTTTACTCCCTGAAGGTCCCCGGCACAATTCTCTCTCTCTCATCACATCTTCTTTCGACAATGCCGACCGCCACCGCTGGCTTTATGCCTGAAGGTCCCCGGCAAAAAAAAACACGTCATCACTCTCTACATGTCTCGACAATGCCGAAAGCCACCGATAGCTTATTGTTTGAAGGTCCCCGGCTTCTCTCTCTTTCTCTTTCTGTTTCGGGTTTGTTTTCCTCGGCGTTCGTGATCCTTTGGGTGAGGGTTTTGGTTTAGAGAAGCGCGATACCCGGATTGTTTTTTTACTTTTCATCATATTGGACTTTACCAGGGTTTTTTTTGTTGTTAGGTCATGCTTTGATGTTGTTGTTGTAGTAATAGGATGTATTTTCACGATAGTTCCGAGGTATTCAAGGAAGTTTTGATGGTGCTTGATGAGTTGTGACTACTGGTGCATGCGTGGTTTGGTGATACAATGCCATAAAGAAATGGTACATGCATGTTTTTCTTACATACACACGCAGTGCACGATGGAATAAACGCTATGTCCTCATCCACCCAATGGCTTTACTTTGAACACGATTTGGAAAAGTACGGTATCTAGGTGAGACGTCGATGTGCTTATATCATCACGTACCAAACTTGACTACACGTCAGGGTCCACGTCAACGTCCCGCGTCAATGTTCATGTCTAACCGACCTATACTACTCATGTATAAAATCACCTATATATTGCATCATCATCATCATCCTATAGTTCAGATTTCATATATGTACGTTGCCCAAAGTCTACAAATCTTGAGGACGTACATAAGCATCCCTGGGCAGCAAAAGTACAATCGAGTAGGTATGTTCTGTTAAAGGCAAAAGGGTATATCACGGGTACTTTAATGCTGGTGCAAACAGGATCAGCGGTTGTTAGAGTATAGAGCTTTGTATTGGGTATGAAGTACATACTATGATAATCCACTTAAAGCTATTTCCACATCCACATTTTTTTTACGAATGGAAACTAATCTCTTTTTGATGTCATGAAGCAGATAATCGTATTTTAGAGTAGTGCTGGTAACTAGGTTTGATTTTTTGGGTGGGGGTTTTTTTTTGGCAAATTGCAGTGGCACGTCTAGTACGCGAATTCATGTCTTTTCTTTTTCGAAACAAACATAATAGGGCAGTCTACGCGTATATTGTCTCGAAGAGCTTGAGTCATTCCCCTTGTTCGACCTAAATCGTATCGCCGTTGTTAGGCCGCTGGCTTTTGCGTTTTTGAATAGTTCAAACGCCAACAAAAAAACTTAGTTCGCAACCTGACTTTTGTCATACTACTTAAACCAAAACCACCAAGATACAGGAATTCTCTTATCTAGAAGCCGTTTTTTGTCTGAGCTTGATATTTAGAAATTCGAACACATGCAGGATTTTGGTGTTGGGCACCTATATCAGTTGAACCCTGGTCATTGAAGGTGTTAGGCGAATACACTTGAATCTTGCAAGTCGAATAAGGCAACTCTACCGGCCTGTGGAGAGTGTGACCAAACGCCGCGGAGTATATATATACCCCATTAACAGGTTATGACGCTTTCCTTGACTCTTGTCCACGTGGTTATTGCATATGCGCTAGACTTTCCCTGCCAATGGTAAAGTTACAAGACGCCATGACGCAACGGAACACCGTGTTCCGTTCTTTGATATAGCAAGTGTGATGACGTTGCAGCTGCTTTATCACATATACTACTGCAATTTAGACAACCGACGAGGCCTGCTGCTCCTTTTGTAATTTCTCCAAAACGAGATATTATGGCGCTCCTCTCGTGGCATCGTTACTTGGCAGGGACAAAAACTGGGAAGTGGGAAGTGGATGGCAGTCTGGGCACGAGGCAAACATGTAGTAATTGGCCGCAGACGTTCTAAGTACTGCTCGACCAAACATGGCCATCGCCCCTAAATCACGAGGAAAGTGAGCCGTGTGCACGTATCGGGAAATTCCTCTTTTCAAAGCGGTGCCAGTAATCTCGCGGGTGGAGTTTCAGGTACGGTACAGTGGCGCGCCGAGAACCTACCTACAGACGCTTGGATGCTGCGCCACTAGGACGGATTCCTTCGCTCCATAGTAATATAGCTTTGACGTTACATTGACATGACATAACCTGGAAACTATGCGTGTTCTGTCTTCTGTAATACATACAGTCACAGCCAAACGGGGTACTCTGACGCGACATGAGAACTCTTGGCACATGTACTGTCGGTTTCTGAGGCACTAGGGGCGATTGTCACAAGTATTTGCGAACATGGTACCTTCCAAGACCAAGAGTGCCCACAATCGCAACGCTGAGGCCTCATCCTTGAGCGATTTCTCCCAAGCTGGCGGTAAGCGTTTAAGTTGAGACCGTTTCCAGTCGCATGCTGGTGTCGTGTGTTTGTGTATTACGAACCAGATCAAGTCAAATATTCGTAAGCCTACCATGTGGCTATTAGCCGCGTTCAAGTACTCGATTGTCCCAATTCTGCATCGTGTATAACTATCAAAGGCTTTGTCGCTAACGTCGCGTAGAGCGTGTAAACGGCCTTGGTTTTGGCAGAAACTACCCCTTGGCGACTATCGAAGCCAGGGTTTGCGGTGTATAACGGGGTTACTATGAGGGCCGCGGGGCGGTACGAGGAGCGTAATCATGGCACGACAGTGATACCGAAGAGGTGGAAGTAGGCATGAACGATTGGCTGGTGGCCTGCGCAGATTGCGACAGGCAGCACCTCTACGTTCTAGCCCATACTGCCGACCGTCAGTATGAGTCGAGGCAACGGCATCGGCATTAGCGATCCCGTGGAGATATCGTGGAACAGTGGGGATGGTGCCGCGAAAGGCAGGAGAGGACAGGCAAGAGTTGAACATTTATCCGTCTCTTTGTGCGTACTTATGACTACGCGGAGGAAGCCCATATTCCCGCGGAGGGCAGCTAGTGCGGCTAGAGTGCGCGAGACTGGTTTGGATCTATTGTGTAGGCGGTGAAGAGGTCAGTTGATGGGTTTGCACTGGTCCAGTGGCAACGAGGGACGACCAAGGGCTGAGGCGTGTGCGTGCACTGGGCCATGTGTCTTACGGGCGGATGTGGTGTAGCCATGAGTGACGGGCTGTTGTTAAAGCTCCGAGACAAGTCTCCAGCTCCTTCCTCCCCTGTTACTAACGGGTACCCCCACACAGACACACACACACACATAAACCAGTCCCCCACTAGTCAAGCCCCACGATGTGGTGGTTCGATAGCTCTTAGCGTTGTTACCGCATAATTGCGACAACTCTTCTCATCCTCGTATAGGTTGTGCCATGTTAGGTGCTGATGAACTGACGGGACGAGCTATCACAAGAAGCTCCGTCTCCGACTCTATTTGGTGCAATTGTGGCGAGTGACGGTCATGGCGGGAGGAAAAAAAACTGTTCACGACTATCCTTAGTCAGTTATTAACCGTTAGTAGGTGCGAATCAATCCCAGACTCCTTCCCGAAGTTAAGCCTGGATTTGAGGAGACATAGCGCATCATCCGTGGTGCGGGAAGACGGCAAGAATTGTTCTCGAAGGCGCTTCTTTGATGGCGCTTCCTCGACAGCGCACGACCATTTCCGGGCCCTGGAAAATGTCCGGATGCTTTGAGGAGGTTCAAGGCATGAAGGGCATCGTGGGGCCATCGGTGTACAAGCAGCCGACGTGCTCCACATGGAGTCGGCGAGCCGAGTCAGATACTGCGAGGACAGACGCTCGCACTGACACGGTTAGAAATGATTACATACAACTGCTAGGAGACGCCACGCTCTGCATAGCTGAAGCATATCATGCGCGATGTCCTGATACTTTGAGCTATCGGGTTCGAGAATGTGTCCCGAATGCAGGCGCGGCACCATCACATGCTAGCTGACCATAACCGTCTCGCCTTTTTGGAAACACTAGCCGGCATCACCGAGCGTCCAGTTCGCGCCTTGTCAGGAGCCGAAGTTTTGGGGCAGCCAGAGCTGAAGATCCTGATTCTGGATCATGACTTGTCGAGATCGATGAATCCATCGGCGAAACCCCTTCACCCCCCCTCCCTGCTCCCATGAGTGTGTATCACGAGTGTAGGTCGTCTCACCGACATTTGTGCGCCGGGCGAAAATGCACCGGCAGCCCCACCCGAGAGAATGACCGTGTCGAAGAAAAAAAGACGACGAGAGCAATAACCAGGGCAATATGGGTGGAGATAAAAGTCTTCAGGACCGCCGCGTGAGGAGACGCGCTCAATCTCGGCAAGGTGCCGCATAGGGCATCATGTAGACCCCTGTTGAAACAAGCTGCAAATGAGGAGCGTGTCAGAAAGAGGACGTCGAAAGCCATGCTGACAATTTCTGTCAAAAGCCAACGAGGGCGGCTTATTGGTGGTGATGGTGGTGATGGTGATGAGGATGTGCTGCAGGCCAGCCTTGCAGTAGTGCTGAGAGGCTTTGGCGAGAGGCGTTCACGATGCGATGCCAATCGAAGGCCTGGCTTTCTCAGAGTGGAAAAAAGCATGGGCAGACGCGTCGGTGTTACACTATGCTACATCGTTCACGCCAGCGGCCGCTAGGCAAAAGGAATCGGTTGCCACGTGTTGTGACCCCTGGCAGCCACGGCATTATCTCGACGGAGCCAGGCTTGACTCGTCACCATAAGCACCGAAGATCTTTGCCCGTTGAAGGTACTATGGGAATCTTGCCAAAGGAAACTGCCAGAGTCAGTTTTCTTGCGGCTAGGGCGGCCAAGCTTCGAAAACCCTTGAAAGAAGAAAGAGAAAAAAAAGAAAATGGTAACCCCAGACCATTGAAAGTGGGCCAATGGTAACAAGGATGACGAGGTTCGTTTACAGCAGCTAGAGGTATTTGGCAGCGCAGGATGCTGAAGCCGCATGGTGTCCAAGTCGCCAAAGTTACGCGACGGGAAAGGGGGGGGAACTACAAGGGCTTCATCTTTTTGTTGCATCATCATTATCATCAGCATCAGCTGCACAGCGGGTGTGCTGTGGGCTTAGCTCAAGGCCAGCGGTGGTGCGAGTAGTATAGTGCGTGTAGGAGAATGTAGCAACTATGTAAATACGAAGAAAGGGAGGGCCATGTTGACTGAGAGTAGAAAAGATGGGCTCTCTGCCTCGTCGGGGGCCTAATTATGCCGGACCCCGCGGGAGCCCTGAAACCCAAAAGCGGGCTGTGGGTGTTTATTTCCGGCCGTATGGTGCAGCCTCGCGCTCAGATGTTCACGGCCCTGAGGGATGGACAGTGTTTGGGCGACTGTGGCGCGGTCCGGGATATGATAGGTGCGATAGATAGTCGGGTCGGAAGGGATGGGCAGCCCGCTGCTTACTCACCGCATGCGTGAAGGCGCCCGAGGCTTGTGGTGATGACGCTGCTAGCGGTCGGTGATTAGTCCGAGCGATGCCGAGGGCGACAGAGGCAGGCGGCTGGCGACGGCGGAGAAGGAGAAGCAGGAGTCGGGGGGGTTGAGGGGAAGGGGCGAGTGGAGAGGGGGGGGCGCTGAAAGGATGAAGGGTCCAGGGCGATTACATACACCTACACTGCACGAGCACGAGTGCGGGTCTATGTAATATGCACGCAGATGGATGGATGCAGAGGGATGCAGATGCGTACGGCCAAGGAGGGATGTCTCGCATGGCAAGCCAACGAGGCGTTGGGCGTGAGGGCCTTGAGGTGGGGTTGCACACGTGGAATGGCGGCACATCGTCTGTTCTCCAGGCTGCAGGCTGGGAAACACGACAATCTCCACTGTCAGTGTTCCGAGCTCGCCATTAAGGCATTGATCGACCATGAGGTAGATAGGGCGCAGATCTGCCGAGTCTGCTCAGAGGTGATGACGACAATGCATGGTTGCTGTTGTGCAAGCCAAGGTGTGATTGGGCACACTGTGTCTTCAACCATTCGAGTCTGGCCGACAAGGCCGGCGCCTGTTGCATGGCGGGCAATGCAGCCACGCTGACCGCGTCTGGGTACGTACGTACATACATACATACATACATACATACATACATACATACATACATACATGGACTACCTACATGTATGTGTCTGTATCTGAGGACGTACATGTGGGTGCGTCTAAGGGTGCGGCGTCGACTGTCGGCACGTTTTGGCGGTCTGAGCAACAATGTTCCGGGGCGTCGCGTGTGGACGTGGGTCGTGTTGCACACACACACCCACACCAAAGAGAGAGCGAGAGAGCGAGAGAGGGCAGAGAAGGGGGGAGGGGGAGGCTAACTACTGTAGTCGAGTGTACCACGGCGTCGTGGGCCGAGCTAAAGGGTCGTTGGCCAGCACAAAGGTTACGCGGGAACGGGTCCTGGCAAGGTGGGAGCAACGGCGATGCAGACAGAGCGGACAGGCAGCTGGGTCCTCTCAAAAGAGCAGAGGCGAGGCGAGGCGTCTTTGGGTCGTCTCGCGTGGTTGCGTGCGGTGATTTGAGAGGATGGGTGGATGGGTGGGTGTACATATGTGTGTACTGTATACATACATTACATACAGGGAAGGCAGGTACGATACTGGATTGGTACGCGTGCACATGGTTGGTTTATTGTATGTACATGTATACTAAATGCTAGATACATATGTACACACATCCAACCTGCCTACCTACCTACCTACCTACCTACCTACCTACCTACCTACCTACCTACCTACCTACATACATACGCCCACACCCATACATACATACACATATTGATATATACAGTACATGCAGTCAAGTAACCAAGTATGTATGTATATATGTATGTATGGACCCATTGGAGCGGACCCCCTGTGGCGAGGCCGGCGTGGACAGCGTCTCGCAGGCGTGGACAGGGGGCGGCAGAGTGCAGGGATGCCTCGTGGAAGCCCACGGCCAGGTGCTCTACCTATTCCCATGGTCGGCGGACGTGCAGGCGGCCATGTGTCTCGTATGCGACTAGGAGGCAGGCGTGGCTAGAGCCTTTGTCATGGCCCGGGTCCAGGGCTAATTCGGCGCCATGCTAGGTTCTCTTAGCTGTCTTAGCACGGCGGTGTGAGCGACTGTTCGAGCGGCAGAGACAAAGGCCAATCCCAGCTAGGGTACCCACACATTGCCCTCCAGCGAGCGAGGCCCGCGATTTACCTCTCCGCGAACATCTTCTACTCGGCATGCCCTTCCCTACCACCTCGCTCCCTCCCTCTCCACCGTCTGTCTCTCCTGTGCCTGACAGCCCAAACCTCGCCACCAGCCTCCTCTCTCCCGACCTGCCGCACTCCCCCACCACTACCGCCGCCGCTGCATCACCAACACCACACGACGACGGCCACAGAGACGCCCGCGACCACCAGCCCATTGCACCTGCCTCTGCACCAGCCGACGCTCTTTCTCACTCCTTCTCAGCAGCCAGGAGCGACCGGCCCCCGCCTTCCTCGTCCTCCTCGTCTTCGTCCCGCTCCATCAACCACGCCCGCCGCTACACCCTCTCGCGCTTTCCTCTGCTGCGCAAAGGCAGCCGTGAACTAGCTCGCTCGCCCTCCACCTCCTCCACCTCAAAGAGCCCTGCAGACTCGCTCTTTCACCCTACCGGCGCTCCACGCCCCTCTCAATCCATTGCCCGTGGTCCTGAGCTCGCAGCCGCCCGAGAGCCTGCTCCCAGCACCCACCGCGACGGCGACGTCATTGCTCAAGAGGCGACGACCACACAACGCCAGCCACAGAGACTGAGAGCACAGAAACCTGACAAGATGCATCAAACAAGTTCACGCCTGCTCCGCATGACGGACGATGAGCGGCCATACACAAGAGTGAGTACCACAGTCCATTATTGTTGATCCTCTCGGTCGCTGTTTTTGCCGAGCCCACCACGTGGCTCGCCCACGTGGGCGGGTGCCAAAGTTAACATCTTGGTCCGCCAAAGCCAAAAAATGGCTCATTCGCACCGAAGAACCCACTGAGCATTTTAGACGCCACTGTTTTCCTCGTGGCCAAGATGCATCAGTCGTTCAACTGTGATGAGCATTTCTCTGCTGCGTCTGTGGGCCTGGTGAAGCGAGCCAGGTGCTGTCAGAACCACAATGGCTTGACTGTCGCTTTCTCTCGATCCATGGCTCGCCTTCTTTCGACTCAACTGCCGGACATGCAGCAGCTGTGCCTTCTTCAGCCTTGTTGGATTGCAAGTATTTTTGAAAACTCAACTAACCTGCAACACAGGATTTCAAGGATCTTTTTGCCACATTAATGGTCTCGCTTCCCCTCACAGCCCACCGAGTGCGCTTCAGGATGATCGACTACACCTTCACATCAGATGAAGCAATCACCAACCTCGGATCCCTCAAATTCTCTCAATCCAACCGCATGCCAGACCCCAAGGACTCATCACGTGTCGTCACCACAACCACTACCACCACCTTCTCCATGGCTAAGGAAATGGCTCGCTCAGTCTGCCAGAGATTCCTCGAAGCAAAGTTCATTGAATCGGTAGAAGGCAAAACCGACTTCATGAACAAGAGCTCCGTCTGGCAACTTACACCCAAGGGTATTCACATTCTCGAGCGGTTCTGCACGCGCAACGGTATTGCTTCAGCGCATGTTAGGGCTGTCATTGAATCCAACAGGAACCCACGCCAACTCGTCGTCCTTGAGCGCAACACAGAAACTGACAAGCTACACCACGATGAGCAGACTGTCGAGATCATCTTCCGTCGCTTCGTCGGTACCACTGCAAACGAGACTCAGTCAGACTCTGATTCGATACATGAGTTCTCAAAGTGCGACATCGGCGTCAAGCTGGTAAAGCATCGACCAAACTCGCAGCGTCAGTACGAGTACACATTCAACGGCCGCAACGCCGCACAGTGGCTGATGGACTGCTCCACCATGGTTGACCCCCGCGAGGCTGTTGAGGTTGGGTCGCTGTTCTTGCAGCTCAAGCTCATTGCTCCTGTCGACCCTCGCAACTCGGATCAACAATTCCAGCCATCAAAGCAAGTTCATTACTACATTACTAACCACGGCGAGCGTGTAGCAGGATGGCTCCTCGAGGAGGTGCCATCAGGTGGAGACATGGCAGTCAAGTCGAGAGATGGCCTTACCCGTGACTCCAACAGCAACCGCACCAACGTCATCATCCGCAACCCGTCCTGGCGTCTTCTATACCGCGAGTTCCTCAAGGAGACCATGTGTGAGGAGAACCTTTCCTTCTTCCTCGAGGTCCAGCAGTTCAACAAGCAGTACAAGGATGCCGTCAACGAAAAGGGAGAAAACAAGGTCGAGGTCATTCGTGAAACGCTCGCTGCCGCTTATGGTGAGTAGGGGGATTATTATTTCCTACATTATGGCCATGCATTAACCATCCGCAGGCTTGTACAATGCATTCTTGGCGCCTGGTTCGCCCAACGAGCTGAACATTGACCACAGCCTTCGTACACAGCTAGCCACTCGCATGACACGTGCTGTTGGAGACGACGCCGCTATGCTGCAAAGTCTTAACGAAGTCGCCTCACTTTTTGACAAGGCACAACAATCCATTTTCAAGCTGATGTCCAGCGTAAGTTTCTTTTGTAAATGCCGTCTTTTCTTCAGCCCAAAGCTAATCCCACTCAGGACTCGGTACCCAAATTCATCAAGCACCCCAAATATGCTCCTCAGCTACGTGGTCTAGACGCCGCCGCCGCCGCCTCAGCGTAACCGAACTTGTCCCGATCCGTTACACATTACTCGGCCCATTGGCTCATCCTGAGTCGTTTTTATTCTTCCTCCGACACCCTTTTTTGTCGACCATCGCATCGCTTCTCCTACTCCGTGCATCCAGTCGCAGACTCTGGCGTTCCGTGGGCTTCCAGGCCAAAACAAAAAAAACGTTAGCATAGGGCGGCTGTTTGTAAGATTGCCTTCTTGCCTCTTTTATCATTACTTTTCTTTTTCGGCTTTTCTTCTCCGGTTCAATTACAATAGGGTTGCCATCTGCGATCCATGTCTCTTCATGTTTGCAGGCTAAGCTGAGAGTTTTGTTTACCTCCAGTGGACGCTGAAATGGCGATCAAGACATTGAGATTGCTCAACTCTAATGGTCGATATATTGGCTTTCCTTCCTACCTTCGGTCGCCTTCGCCTTGTTTGCATACAAGCGAGTCCACCCGGCGACGATCGGCGCATTTGGATGATGTAACTAGTATATCCTTCACAGCCCCCTGACATTGCACCATTGGCATCCGGGTGAGCATGTGGTTAACGCCCTGCATTGGATTGCGGTATATGGGTGGGGGTGCATACGGGACGCAGGAAACAGGGACTGCAGGAATGATGGACGGTTTGAACAGCACTACTGTACCCTAATTGGGGGTTTTTCAAGATACCCTGTCTGACTCTATAGAAGAACTCATGATGATATTTTTCCCAACGCGTTCACCTACATCGTGTTACCAAGGGTAGTCCTTGCTGTCGAGTGGTAGCGCTTTTTGATTAGTGTATCATGGCACGCGATCAGTCACATCCATATGCACCTCGAGCCCCTCAAACTTTACTCCGGAAATCTCTCCATCAATCTCGCGTGGCCTGTGGCCCTGAGCCCTGCCAATGCTCGATGCACTCGGCCTACATCTCTCCATGCGTCTTGTCACAAGTGTCCTTGCCCCCCCCCCGCAAAAAAGTAAAGTCCAAGGGCAATAATCAACGTCACTGCTCCGCGAGGGCCCGAGTCCTGACTCGTATCTGTAGATGGCATTACCACAATACTATACCATATAGTAGTAAGTATATACGCGTCTGCTTCTGTCGGGCTCGTGCATGGCTCCGAAAGCATCTTCTGTGGGCCCTTTGGTTTTGGTGATATAGGGTCTTTGAGGGGGGAGGACAAGACTCCGCGAAGTGTGGTTGGCGCGGATTTGCCCGGACCCGTGGGATCGACCTCGGCATGCACTGGTCAGGTAAAGGCAATTGGAAAAAAACGTGGATTTTAGGAATGTTTTGCCATGCGGAGATTGGTTTACCAGAGGGTAGTGCGTGCGGTGAAAGGGTGCGACGAGACCGATAACGTTTTGCCACGATTACGACAGATGACCCTTTGACAATAGATGGTGAGCAATTATTGCTCATCGTAACGGAGTGTTTTCCTTTTTTTTTTTAACAATGAAACACCTGGGTTACGGGTACCTCGTACTCGCGTGTGAACGTGCCTGTAGTAGTGAAACTGCCACAATATTGCGATTACTTATCACATGCCGTCCAAGAGAAAAGAGCTGTGAGTCTCCGATCTACGCCCCCGTCGTTGCCCAACGCTTCCACTTGCCGCATTCGGTGGGCTCGATGTTTTCCCCGTTCCCCGAGCCATACCCACACCTGAACGCGATCTAATACATGGATGACCAAACGTCGAGTCGTACGACATTTCGCTCGATTCTGAGATGGATCAACACTCTCTACGGGCGGGCACAAACACCCATTGTACATAGACGTCTGCTGACTGGAAAAAAAACACCCGAGACCCCCCTCCCTTCCTCATCGTTGCGCGCTGTTAAGATTAGGTTTTCCATACATGGTTCATCAGACCGAGCTTGTGTAACGCATGCAGACATTCAAATCCTTGGAGGCTCAACGGTACGAGGTGCTCTCGGTCGTACTGCATGTTAAAGGGTCAAGAGGTGTGGGGGGCCCAATTGTGCCGCATAAAAAAATTGCCCAGAAAGGGTGAGTAAGCAAAGAAATTGGGTTTTATGGCGGCCAACATGGTTACCTTCGGGGGGTTGGTGGCGAGGAGAGTCTTTTTCGCTGGTTACATGCCGGAAGTATGGGAGCGAAAACCGGGCGATGGGCATTAAAACGTTAGTGCAAGCCCTGCGATGGAACTCGGAGGTTTTGCCGTGCTGAGCAGTTGGAATGTCCGTGTTTGTCATGCACTGCGAGGGCGCAGCGGAATTCTTTCCGAAGTACCACACGGCCTAGTACGTACTACACAGTACGTCCGTAAGTAAGTACTAGTTACACCGGAAATGGTGAATAGTCCACCCCCTAGCAAGAGGACTTGGGAAGGTACTTGCATAGCTACGTACGTAGGTTGTCGCTTCTAAGAGACGGCAGATCATAAGTTTGATGGCTGCATACCTTGCGTACATCCTTACTTAAGTCGACGATCGGCCGAGGGACAGCCCTGCTTGCCGTGTCACCTCACACGCTCTGGATGGAGACTTCTCCTGTTCTACATCATATCAACACTTATTCTAAACCCCGTCTCCGAGTATGACTCCATTAAATATCGTGTCCACCTTGCCACAATCGCTATGTCTCCATCGCTACGGAGTTGTTGCACGCTCGCTAAGATAATACCAATCGACCTTTCGCTTGATGGTGATCGACAGGGTCTTGATCGGAAACGGACCAAATACGCGAGCCCATGCACGTACCGAAAGGGCACTCGTGACAGTACACTACATATATAGAGCTATGTACATGCGTGCGGGATGTGCTTATATGTTGTGACTACCTGAAAATGCTTCGTCCGTAGGGATTCTAATAACGATAATCAGCTTCTCCTTTGTTCAACTTCATCACGGATTTATAATACAGAAACACTGGGCCATGAATGGGAACTACGCTATACACAATATCGATTATACTCTCTCTAACCCAACCTGTATTACACCCTTGTTAGTGGCCTATATACAATACTTTGGCTTATCTCTACATTGGGTTGAACCTCTTGGCTGGGCTCAGGGGAGCGCGCTAGTGACATGTCTAGAGGGCAGGTAGTAAGAGCTAGAGTTGCAAGCAACAAGATTTGATACAGTATAGCATGAGTCTAAGCAGTTTACTACTACTACTACTACTACTACTACTACTAATAGTAGTAAGCTTGTTTATTGTGGCCACCGGCACATATTTTGTACGTAGAGACACCGAAATCGATGATCGGACTCTTCTTCACATGGAGAAAGCAGCTCTTCCTACGAAACATCAGCACCACCACAGCGTGATTTTCAATAGAATTAGACTGAATAGATACACTCACTCTGTATCGAATATAGCCAAGCGGAGGACAAGTAAAATAATACTAGTGGTAGAGGGTGATCTTATCTCCGACTTTATCGGACGTCAATAGCGTCAATGTCTTCTTTGACTAGTCCAAACCCCCCACAACACTCTAGCATGGCGGTGCTCAGTCTCATATCTATCACCACAGTAGTCTATCTTTCTTTTTCATTTGTTGCTTGTTGAGTTGTCTAAATCATCTATTGTCGCACGCTCCATCCGCTTGCACGCGTGCCTGGTCCATTATTGCCTGCAGTTTCCCGAACATGGACAAGGTAATGCATTTGCTGTCTGACACCATTAGGCCAATGCCAATAGATGACCAGTAAGCACTTCGACTGATTTCCGTTGAAGAGCCAAACCTCTTTCGTAGCCCAGTCCGGCTCAAGGCTTACTTTGATCACAGTGTACCACATGCTCCGAGGCGACTTGAAAGTCGCGCAGAATAAACTTCATAAAAAATACGGTCCACTCATACGCATTACTCCAGAGGAAGTGAACTGCGCTGATGCAAGTATGATCCCTCTTATCTACCCTTCGCATAGTCCTCTACCAAAGACCGACTGGTAAGCCATCATTATCATAGTAAATATCTCTAAAATAATAACGGCCAACGCTGCATGTCCGCTGCAGGAACGATATCTTTAATCCCAAGGGCCTCAGTGAAAAGACCAATCTCTTTAGCGAAACGAACCAGGAGAAACATACAAAGCAACGCAATATTGTCTCGCCAGTCTATCAGATGAGCGGTGTCTTGAGAAACGAAGCTGCGATTGACGAATGCATCACGCTTTCACAAAATAAGTAAGAGAGCTAGCTGCAAAGAAAGAAGCAGTCAATCTCGGAGAGTGGATCAATTTCTACGCCCACGACCTCAAAGCAATCCAAGCCACCACCGAAGCCGCAAAGCAGCAAACCCGACTCCGCATGGAGCGCTCCACCCATGAAAGATACTCCCGGCCAGAAATCCTCTCGCAACTGCTCCGCATCGTCGAAATGGGTGGCGGCGATAAAGAATCCCAGCAACACCTGCCCAGCACCCCGGTTACCTACAATGGAACAGTAAAGCATCTTCCCTACATCGGTGCGTGTATCAAGGAGGCATTGCGCCTATTTCCCACGGTGGGCTTTAGCTTGCCTCGTGTCTCGCAGCTGCAAGGTATCGTGTTGAAGGGTCAGCATGTCCCCGTTGGCTACGTGGTCGGCGTCAATCCGTATATGATTCAGTACAACCCCGAAGGGGTTTTTTTTGGCAGCAACGCAGCTAAGTTCCGGCCGGAGCGGTGGCTTAAGAGTCAAGCTGGGAGTTTTGAGATGGAGAAGAATTTACTTTCGTTCGGGGTGGGGACGAGGACTTGTGTTGGTAAGAATGTAAGTTGAGGTCGATCACCTCTTGCTTTGTTGTACAAGTGGGTTGGGGAAATGAGGTTCTTGATTATTGATATGTGATGACTTCTCATGTGTCAGATTTCAGATTGCACTGGTAGAGATGTACGAGTTTATTCTAGAGGTGCTGCGTAATTTCGAGATACATATGGCACATAGTAGTCCTTTGAAGACGTGGAATGCGGGGTTCATACGGCAGCATGACCTTATAACACGGATTGCAGAGCAAACTTGAGAGAGATGTTCTCTTTTTCATTGGTATTTGTGTGTAATTTTTTGCTATGGGACTGAAATAATAAGAATATGGATGTGAGAAGTGCTGGATCGAGTAACGCGATCCTTGCTCCTCCAGATTTGAAATGGTTGTCATTTCAAGTACCGCCCATGACATCAACCAAATCTGGTAGACTTGGCATCGCTTCTACCCGTATCTGTACCATGTTTACGCTTCCAGAGGTGGAGTATCAGCATAACAAGCCTGCATGAAGAACTCAGGGTACCTTGTACCAACAACCTCTGCCTCATCGCACACCTTTCGGATAGCCTTCTCCTCTTCCTCAGTCAGCTGCACTTTGAGACTTGCCACATTCTCTTCTAGTCTCTCTGGGTTAGTAGTACCTGGGATGGGAAAGATATCTTCACCCTGTGCCATAAGCCATGCCAGTGTCAGCTGTCCTGGCGTAACCCCCTTTGCCTTTGCAATTTCGACGATGCGATCGACAAGCTTCAGGTTCTTTGGAAAGTTCTCCTTGCTGAATCGAGGTGCAATGCGGCGGAAGTCAGTCTCGTCGAAATCATCGGGGCTCTTGATAGCTCCAGTCAACATTCCGCGGTTTAGTGGCGAGTATGCAACAACGGCGATGCCCAGCTCGCGGCACGTCCTGAGGACATCGATCTGCTTGGTTTCGATCTCCAGTGCAAAGGGCGAGTACTCGACTTGCACGGCAGCGATTGGATGGACTTTGTGTGCCCTTCTCAAGGTGTCTGAGCTGACTTCGGAAAGCCCGAGATACTTTACTTTTCCGGACTTGACAAGCTCGGCCATGGCCTTTACGGTAAGTTCAATGGGTGTCTTCTGGTCCACGCGGTGACAGTAGTAGAGGTCGACGTATGGAGTACCGAGGCGCTCCAGTGATTTCTCAATGGCAACCTTGACGTATTCTGGGGAAGAATCAATTCCGCCGGCGCCTCCATCCTTGATGGCGAATTTTGTGGCAAGGAATATGTCTGCGCGCTTGGATGGGTTGGCTTTGAACCATTTTCCGAGCAGGTCTTCGTTATCACCGTACCTAGAGGTGATGTTAGTACTGGTAAATCGGGGACCATGGAAAGCTTTGCAGTAGCCTCACATGTCAGAACTGTCCCAGAAACGTTCTCCTAGTTCGTAAGCACGATCGAGGAGAGCTAGGCGCTCGTTGTCTGGTTTTGGTGGTCCATAAGACAAGGATAGTCCCATCAGGCCGAATCCTAGGCGATTGACCTGGGGGCCATTGCGACCGAGTGGAGCGGTAGGAAGAGACATGGTGAGTTGTATCAAGGTTTGTTTGAGTAGTGATGCTGTTGATGCGTGCTGTGACAAGAAGATTCCTCAATATGTATGTCCTTTTCTTGGCACAAGGTGGTGCTATTGGGCGGCCAAATTTTCTCGGTCAAGTAGAAGCATAGCAAGAACTGTATGAAGGAACGGACAACGCTAGTTCTATTGCGGTTGAAAGTATACGTGAAGTTTGGCGGCCTGACATCATTATGATAGTCTTAACTCCGACAAAAGCCGCTAGCAGAGGGATACATGAGCGAGTATTGATCGAAATCAAAACCGTTTTCTATTGGGTAAGACTCGCCTACAAGAGATAATTCGATTGAAAGAATACTACCAAACTTAATGTGATTCGACAATACCCGGAGCTGAGATAGGCTGGTAAGTACATGTGTGCGCCAGAGCTGTACCAGCAGTGGCAGACTCCTACGAGCGGATTTAACCAACCTTTTGTCTGGGCACGTACGTACCTACTCCACAACACGTCAGTAGAGGAAACAGGGCTGGCATATTACTACCTGGTAAATGGGTTGTCCTCTCAAGCGATTCGACTCTTCATTGGCCACGTGCGTTAATAAAAAATCCCGGCGCATTGGCACCAGCGTACTTGAGGCTGGAGAAAACGGAGATAAGAGCTTCGCCAAGTGACGATTTTTTCGTCCGCATCTCACAACAATATTGGTCCTATGAGCGTAAAATCAGCCGTGCTCAATTGGAAAATAGCGGACTTGTCCGACTTGCCATATATTGTGATGTGTGTTGTGAACTTGGAAAGACGGTTGCTCCAGAGTGCTGACACGCCTGGCAGCGGGTGATCCGATACTAAGCGAGTTACTAGCGTCCGTCAAACTTCATATCAACTGTCCCACTAGAGCATGGTGATAGGCATTTGTAATGCTGTCGTCACGCTACAGAGACTCGACATCCACACTGCAGATGTCTTTACCCATACACTAACAGCATATTGCATTAAAATCTAGCAGCGCATCATGACTGCCGACATACGCGACCTCAAACCCCTCAATATTCGGCCTGTCCAACATCAAGTACGAGACCCACCAGAAGCCGATCCATTTGCCTTCGACCATCACGATGACAAGATACATGTCCTTTTGTGTGCTTCAGGATCGGTGGCGACTATCAAAATACCAAACATAATCAATGCGCTTGCAAAGCACGCCAACGTACAAATACGGCTTATATTCACGGCTGCCGCGACAAACTTCCTGCAGGGCCAAAGTGGAGAACAACCTTCACTAGAGGATATAGAGGCCCTGCCAAATATACACGGAATATATTTTGACGAGGACGAATGGAGAGAGCCATGGGTGCGCGGCAACAAGATCTTACACATAGAGCTACGACGATGGGCCGATATAATGGTTATTGCCCCCTTGAGTGCCAATGAACTCGCTAAGATTGCCCAAGGCTGGTCGGACAACCTCCTTCTCTCCGTGGTGCGTGCCTGGGACACTACTGGTTTAATTGACCCTGTGAGGAGAATACCGGGCGTGCAGTGGCCGCAACAAGAAGGGGGCATACAAAAGAAAAGGATACTAGTCGCACCAAGTATGAATACGGCAATGTGGTACCAGCCAATTACAAGCAAACAAGTGCGCATTTTGGAAGAGGAGTGGGGCGTCAAGAATGGAGGTTGGTTCGAAGTGTTGCAGCCAATGGAGAAAGAGTTGGCTTGCGGAGATATAGGCGGCGGTGCAATGAAAGATTGGAGGGAAATCGTAGCCGTGGTTGAGGAAAGGTTGGGCCTAGCGGCACAAACCTCAGAGACGTGGCTCTGAGTACAGGTCGACGTCCTCGATAGTCTTGAGAAGGGTGTGTGGATAATACCGGAAACAACACGAGACGACTGTCCATACAGAGTCGAACATAATGATAAATCAACACATTAACGCTTTCTACTGTAACTACCTGGGTCAAAGAACAGAAGGCCACTTTGTTGTGTGGTGCCAAGATACCCAGCAAATAAATTCCTTTGCAGTATCTCTTTCTTCCATCTAGTAGGAGCAATGCGCTAGTGAATTGAACAATGTAACCTCATCTTTCACTGTATGGATTGCAGGTAGGGCATCAGCTTGATGCACAGGCACTTTGACCGAGTTGCAGCTGCTGGTCCTTGACGTCCAGGATCATATGAACGTTGACGTGCCTTTACATATATTTTGATTGTGCAACATACAGAAAGCCCAGTCCAGCGATGGCTTTAGTCTTTTGGTCAGCTGCCGTTGCGTATCCAACAAAGTGTTAGTGGATGAAGAGTCATGGCTTTTGGGGGCCAGAACATATGCAGCCATGCTTCATCCATCGTACGTTATCAAAGGCTCATCATTATCCTCATCATCACACTTATTCTGTGGGCTCGAGGCTGAGTAGTATAAGGTGGCTTGGTCTTGGACTTTTAAGGCATCCTCCTTCTGATATTGCTGTTTTGTGATTGGCCTTGTACCCCTCTAAGAATCATCCTGTTCTCAAGCCGTGCATGCTTCCTTGCTTCAGCCTGATTGGGGGCCGGGACGCCTCAAGCATAGATCTATGTACGTAAAATGGTGATATTGTCATACTTGACGTGAGACAAAGGAACCCTGTTCGACAGGCCGATGAGGCTCTTTGTAGGCTTGGCTAGTCGCAGGTCCAGCACAATACCCGTTGACTTCCAGATGAAGCTACATTCACAAGTAATCGCGCAGTCGGCCTCATGCATGGAGGCGCTCTTTAGCGGTTTCTCCTGCAGGATGCACGAGATGAAGTATATTCTCGGTGTCTCGTGCATGTTGTGATACCCTAGAAGCTGAGCAAAATGTCTTGGCATGGCGCCAGCAAGCTTCTGTCTGTGCCCGGCACCACGTCGGCGCAGTCCCCAATGACAGCGCATTCGAACCAACTCGACAGCCACCACACAATTTTTGTTGGCCCTCTTTCAAACACGGCATAGCCGGGCGTGACGGGCGCGACCGGTCAGAAAAACGGCGCCTCGCGTTGCTCGCTTGCCCATTTCCTGTGCCACGCTTGGCGCATGCCTAGCCCTTTGTCTTGGAAGGGCGTGAAGAGCTGAAGACATGAGGACAAGTCGTGGACCAGTGCTAGGCACAGCAGTGCCTTCTTTCGGGAACGAAGCCGACCGACACTTCTGCCTTCCCCCTAGGGGAGCAGGGGAACAGGGGAAGATCGCCGGCAAGTTGATCCAGCAATGGCTATGATGCAATCGCGTGTTTGAGCCAAGAGTTGGAAGGAAGATGCGGCGCTCATCAACAATCTGGGGACAGGGCCCGTACCGCCAAGTGGTATGTGACATGCGCTCCAAACACTGACTGGAGGACAATTCATTTAGAGCGAAGCGAAAGTGGCTGGTGCATGTGGATCCCCCAAGCTGAACAACGGACGAATAGACTAGCATACTCCATCCCCCCCACGGCATAGTGCGAGAGGCGTCTCCTGTCAATCTGCGCTTTAGGCAGACCGGCAGCCTAACTGGGGAACAAAAGTAATTCGAGCGGCGCCTTTGCCTTCCCTCTATTTTCGTTCAAGGTCAGGCGCCATGCTGCAGCCTTTCAGATTAGATATCGATTAATCCTAGAGCCTTTCACAGCCCCAGCGGCTAGTGTCCTTTTATTCACATACTTCTGTTCTTCTGCCCTTCAGCGGCATTCTTTTGGGGGTTTAATTATTTGGTTGCTTCGATATTGCCCGATACCCTTGTTTGCTGTACCTTTGTCGACTTCCGCCTCCGCATGTCCAATATGCTCAAGGGCGTATTGCTTGTGGCTTCTGCAGCATGGGCTGCAGCTCAATCTTCCTCTGAGCCTTGCGCAATCGTTGCCGCTCAGTTAAGTCAATCTACCAATATCGAGGCACAAGCCGCCTACGAGTGTCTCGAGTCTGTCCCTGTTGACGTCCAAGGCAATCGCCTTCTCCTCGACGAATTAAAAAACATATGGCAATTTCAGTCAGAACTCGTCTGGCTGAAGAATCCAGGAAATGAGTGGGAGTGGGGTCCGTTAGATATCGAGGCGGAACTCGACAAGATCAAAAGCAATCTTGACTCGTTTTCGTCCGAGTACGCTGTCCAACTCGCCATTCAGAACATCACCATTCGAACTGGCAACTTCCATTTCAACTACAGACCCGACATACTTCAGGTCTTCAAATTCCTCCGTCCCTTCAATGTCGCTTCCATTTCCCAGGACGGCAAATCACTGCCCAAGTTGTACGTTGTCGAAGACGTCTTGGCTCTGGCTCAAGGTAGCTCGGATGTCTCTGAGATTTCCAAGCTTAACGGTCAAGATCCCTATGCCTTCCTCTTATCTGTCTCATGGTCGCAGTACATTGATTCAGATGGATTGCTCAACAAAATGGTGGCTAAAGGAGATACGAACAACCCTGGCAGCTTCATGATACAGAGCAAATACGACGGCGGCACTACAGATGTCACGTGGGCGAATGGTTCAACAGTCTCCGTTACCAACATTGCCAGATCAGAGGAAGACTTTTCGGGTGTTACTGATGGACCATCCTTTTTCGACGCATTCTGTACAGGCCGCCTTTTCGCACAGCCAGCTACAGCCAGCACAAAATCCGCAACGGATTCGCCAGACACAGATGGGCCACGAAGGCCCGCGAGTCTCAGCAACGTCATCTCTCCCAGCGCTCCTGACCCTTTTGTTCCCCGTATTCCTACTGGTATCTACCACCTCCGCAACAAGCGCCAGACTATCCCAAGTCCTTATGCAGATGCTATTGTCGAATCACAAAGTCAAGTTGTAGCAGGATACTACCTCAACGGAAATGGCTATGACGATATCGCAGTGCTCAAGATTACCTCATTCAGCAACCCCAGCTCTGACATCGACGAGACCGATTTCAACAACGAATTCCAGGCCGTGATCTCCAGATTCCTTCAAAGATGCGTGAGCGACAACAAGCAAAAACTCATCATCGACCTGCGTGAAAACGGTGGCGGCAACACCAATCTCCTCTTGGACGCCTTCATGCAGCTCTTCCCTGAAATGGAGCCCTTTTCTGCACAACGGTACAGGGCAACTGATGCCTTTCTCAAGATTGGCGATGCTGTTAATGAGATTAGGAGCGATCCTTCCAAAGCGAGGACGTTTGCTCGTTTTACACGGGGTGATATCGAGAACAGCAATATGTACAGATACTGGTCTTGGTGGCACTTCCTCAACAGCGACGGAGCCGATTTCAAGGACTGGAATGACTTCAACGGGCCTGTGAAGCTAAACGGCGACAGTTTTACTTCGACCATGCGATACAACGTAAGTTCACGTACTCTATAATCCCGTGATATTTCACTTCAAAACTAACAACAACGTAGTACACAGACGAACTCTCCATCCTCCCCACAGGTTTCCGTTTCGTAAATGGCACCCGCCCCACTCCCTTCAACGCCTCCAACATCGTCATGTACACCGACGCCCTCTGCGGCTCCTCCTGCGCCTCCTTCCACGAAGAGCTCAAGAACATCGCCGGCGTCAAAGCCGTCACCGTTGGCGGCCGCCCAGAAAACAAGCCCATCCAAACCATCACCGGCAGCAAAGGCGGCGAAGTCACGCCCCTCTCCTACTGGCAAATGTACGCCGAGGTAGCGCTGAACCTCAGCTCCCTCGCCGATCTCTCCGCCTTCTCAGCCACAGACTCTGTACTCTCGGGTATCGCAAATACCCCGCAAATCACGACGCGCGCAGGCGACGAGTCCTCGCGGTTGCAATCGCAAGATCAGGTTCGCAAGGGCGATGCGTCCGGTACGCCACTACAGTACATCTACGAAGCTAGCGATTGCAAGATTTTCTACACGGCCGAAACGTTTTTCGATCCCGATGCTGCGTGGAAGCAGGCGTGGGATGCGTTCCAGGATGACAGCAAGTGTGTGGAGGGCAGCACGGGACATAAGAGTTCGTTGTCTGGTGGGTACAAGCCTTATGGCCCTGGTGAGCTGAAGACGGAGGATCGGCCGCAGAGCAGCCCGGATGATGATAGGCGGGGAAGTGGGAGTGGTCAGAAAGATGCGGCGAGCAGTGTGAGGATTAGTGGCGTGCTCGTGGGTGTTGTGGCGGTGCTTGTTAGCGCTGTGATGATGTAGACCGGGTGACGGATGCGACGGCATCTTTGTCACGCGTTTAATGAGTAATGCTATTGTAAGTCTGTTTCTATGTAGAGAAATCATATTTCTATTCGGATTTCCCTGTTGCTTTTGAGTTTAGAGTTGAAACTTCCGTGGCGGCCTTATTTTTTTTTGTAGGAGATGAAAAGAAAAGAGGGATGAAAAGAAACATTTTCTTGAACTAGGTTGTGATTTCTACTATGATTACTCAACACAAAATGTAAATACTCATATCTGTTCATTGCAACCCATATTCCTCACACCATGGACCCCACCGACCAAACATTACCGTACAAAAATGCTGAAAACACCGCTCTATCATACACTACCCAAAATTCCTCGCTCCATTCCCTCCCTAATTCGGTCGTAACACTACATCCCCCACGCAAAGCACCACATTCTTGAAGAATCGCCTCCATTCCAGCGGATCCCCACTCGCCTTCACAAATCTGACCTCCCAGTAGCCCGCACCCTCATACACGGCCTTCTCAACTACCACATGCCCATTGAGTCCCTGACGCCGCCCATCTGCCATTTTAACGCGTATACTCGCGCTGCCGAGCTGCTCTGCTTCTTCGATTTGCTGGGCGGAAAACGATGGAGCTGGAACGCCGAGACGGTTCAGAGATGCGAGGAGTAAGGGGAGGAGAAGGGATAAGGGACGAGGGGATATGAAGCGGGCCATGGAGTAGGAAGGGAGGATGTCGGCGAATTTTCGGGCGGCTTGGGTAAAGGTTAGGGGCACGCCGGGTTGAGAGCTGAATTGTGTCATGCTGGGGTCTTGGGATAGGGCGTCTTGGGTTGAGGATGGGAGTTGCGAGAGGAAGGGCGTGGAGCTTATTTCTGGGTGGTATATTGCTGCGTGGCCGGTTGTCGTGGGTTGCGAGGCGGACATGCCATCGTGGGTTGCGAGGCGTGGTGGGCGTTCCCAGTCAAACGGTGTGTCGCCAGAGGGGGTTTCTGGTTGGGTAGAGGAGAGAATGTGGATGGCACTGGAACGACGGGGGTCGTCGCTTGTGTCAATGTCCATTGCATCGCCGTCGTCTTGCGAGAATCCGCGTTGGGATTGGGTAGGTGGCCGCGTGAAATCGATGCGTAGATGGGAAAGCATCTGTGTCGCCAGACCGATTGGATTGGCATTCCGTCCCGAAGGCGTCAAGTACGGGTTCTTACGCGTGAACCAGGGATGCGTACGCACTTCGTCTAGGGTAAAGCGCTGTTTTGGATCGACCTTGAGCATGCCTCGAAGCAAGCTGACAATATCAGGCGGAAGCTTGGCCCATAGCTCATCAGTCGTATGGCCCCCAGTGTCGACATATTCCTTGAACTCTTCCGATCGCATCGTAGGTTCATCCCATGGCGTGTTTCCGACAAGAAGAACGAACAGTACAACACCGCAACTCCAAATATCGCACACATTGGCTTCGTATCCCACGTCCAAGACATCGGGCCTCTTGCTTCGTCTCCCGCTGACGATTTCGGGCGCAATGTAGGGTGGTGAACCACAAACAGTATTGCATAGCCGTATTTGTCCATCCTTCTTGAACAGGGCTGCCAGTCCAAAATCACTCAGCTTCAAGTCTCCCTCGGCGCTCAGTAGCACATTCTCAGGCTTGATGTCTCTGTGCGCCACGCCCATGCTATGCATGTATGCGACGGCACTGACAAGCTGTGAGAAGTACAGATGTGCCACATCCTGACCAACACCCTCGTCTGCTTCGATCTTGTCAAACAAGTCGCCTCCCTCCGCCAGTTCCATGGCTATCCATGTCCACAGTGCGTCCTCGCCGGAGCCCAGGCAATGGATGATGTTATGATGTTTACCGAGATGCTGATGCAATACAATTTCCATCGTGATCTGCTTCGGAGTGAGGCGGCCGGTGCGCAGGGCATGTTCTTTGTTGATGAACTTGATGGCGATGACGGGTTTGGGGGCATTGTGGGGTACGGCTTTGCGGATCCTGAGGCGGCATTAGCAGGAGGACTTGACAACATGAAGACGGAGACTGACGAGGCATATGCGCCTTGTCCAATGGTTTTGCTCACGAGGCGAAAGGGCAGGTTTGTGGGTAGAGGGGCTGCCTGGCTTCCAGGCGGGGCGGGGCCCATTGTAGTGAGTATGTTGTGTATAAGAGTTGGGCACTGGCCTGATCAAAGATAAGTAACATCAAGTGACAAGATTAACGTATCGTCTGAAGTATGCCTGTGGTTTGTGGTGTTTAAAACTCGTGGTCGTTATTCCTCAATCGCTCCCGTCCCATCAGGCACCAACATCGCGTCGCTGCGTGCAAAACACAACG